ATACCACTCGTCCTACTGACAGTCTTCACAGTTCCAGGAAATCCAGGAAAGAATAAGAGTGAACAGTAAAGAAGAATAGGTGAAATGCAATCGTGTCACAGAAACCATGATCACAAAATCCAATAAAATATTTTATATTAGTACATACAAAAGTCCGAATGTATTCAAAACGCTAAGAATATTTTCTGTATTAGCCAAATAGTAGATAAACACATGGTCAGTAGATGTTAGTGACTAGCTAGCACAACAAATGACGTCATGATCATGACTGCTTTTGAGTCCCAACCCTTTCCCATGCATTAACTCATTCAAATTTACATTGATTACAGTTGATAATTTAGTTGGTTGGAGGATTTTTTCAGGAACCGACATCAGTTAGAGAACCATTAAAAGTTACCAGGGAGTACTGAACAGCCGTTTCGTCCTAGTTTCGTGCTCTTCAATAGTACACACCCACCTCGAAGTGGCCACCCTATTTCATAAATTCGCCGAAGTTAGCATTCATGGGCCATTGGGTTCAGTCCCAGTATCTTAATGGTCTACGAGCTCGCTAACCTTGTAACCAGAAGGTCCTGGGTTCGAACTTTGGCGGCGGATGCTTACTGCTGTCCAGTGCTCTATGTGGCTGGTTTTCCAATGGTCCTCTAAGTGATGTCAGCTCATGATGAAATCCTCCAACCAATCAATCAAACAAAATCCTTACGAAAAAACCAATACTTGATTATTTCATCACTATATGATCTGTTTTTCTTTTTGGTTTCGATCGATCCTTACCCATCTTCACTGTACTACTGTCTTAAAAAACGATATTGCTTTTGCATTCTTGAAAGACATAAAGTTTTTTAGTCAAGTCATTTTGTTTCTGATAATTGCTTAACTCATATTTTCAGTTTCTGACAACAGTCAAGGGGATTTAGAAATCTGTGGGCAGATAGTTATAAAAACTGTGTTCTAATGCTTCACCTTTGCATTAATAAGACATTAATAAAAATGTATTATTTCCTGTATGTATATATATATATATTTTTTTTTTTTTAAATAAAATTCATTAGAATGAAATCCCAGAACTGGATCCGTATGCATCAGGTGAAGTGACAAGTGTAGCAAGACAACAGTTACATCCCACAGAATATTCCAATGAAGCAACACTAAGAGCACTGAAAATATAATAGCAATCAAGTTCTAAGAAATTTGACAACAGTATATTAGAATGTCTATCAATAATCAATACTACGAATACTACTACTTCAATCAATATTACTGATTCATTTCTCTGATGAAAGAAACTGAATAAAGTGTGTTGTTGAAGAGTTAAATTTTGTAAGAATAGCTAACCAAATTTTCATGCAGAAACTTAATTTCATTTCGACCTATTTATCCTCTAGTACTCCAAAAACTAAAAGACATGCTTGTTGTCAGTCAGCTGATTCAGTGGAAGATAAATGTCATCGCGAATAGTGTGTTGTAAACAGAGCCAGACGCTGTTCATCTTGAAATATATATATGAAATTATAAATAAATGTATTATTATTATTATTTTCTTTAATTCCTAGAGGAACATACGGCTTCAGCCGTGCGTCTCCATTGCGTTCGGTTCTCTGCTAGAGTTTTCACCTGGCTCCAGGTCTGCCCACATGCTTTCATCTCTTCTTCGCATGATCTCCTCCAGGTCACCCTTGGACGACCAACTCGTCGCTCCCCTTTCGGGTTCCACTCGAGCAATGGCTTGTCTAGTGATGTCACTTGCTGGTTTCCTCAGAGTGTGGCCAATCCATCTCCATTTCTTCCTGCCTATTTGTTTCACAATCGGTTCCTGCTGGGTTGGTTCGCTCCAAGAGATCTTTGTTGCTGATCCTTTCCGGCCATCTGATCTTGAGTATTGAGCGAAGACAGCTGTTAATGAAGGTCTGTAGTTTGTTTGAGGTGCTCTTTGTGACACGCCAAGTCTCTGATCCGTATGTTAAGTAGCACTGACTGACTTCAAATTGGAGTTGAAAATCCGGATCTTATTTTTGACGCTGAATGATGTTGACCTCCACACAGACTTGAGAGTAATGAAAGCTTGCCTTGCTTTCCCGATCCTTGCTTTGATATCCTTGTCAGTTCCTCCTGTAGTTGAAACAATGCTTCCCAAGTAGGTAAAGGAGGTAGTTTCTTTCAGGTTTCTTCCATTTATGCTGATTGCTGTCTGTTGTTGTTGCTGTTGGTGTTGGCCAGGGATCTCTATGTTCACCTGGAGTCCTATCTTTGATGCTTCTTCTGCTAACTTGTTGCTTTTTCGCTTGCATATCTTCCAGTTTGTGGGAAATCAGACATATGTCATCATCGGCGAAGTATAATATAGAATAGTTTTTCTTGTGTGTGTTGAAATTTCTGTAACAGTTTGATTGGCTTTCTGACTAATAGAGAAGATTTGTAGCTCAGGTGGATGATTTGCAATTAATAGTGTTCTCTGAGGAGCTGGTTGGTTTAGTTGCGGCGGAGCTTTCGTCGTCCCCCTGCTGGACAACATCCCCCTTCATCGCAATATTTAGCATAAAGTGAAATGATTTAAATTTCTTCATGATTGCGTCTCCTGGTAACTATCTTTACATATGTATTGACCACTTTCTATTGACTTGGGCTTTAAACTTTCTGGTCACCTGATTTACTTTTTATTAGTTGGTAATTTGGTCTATATTAACATGTTTGTTAATTGCATTTTCGTTTGAGTACCAGGCTTCTAGGAATTCCCTGACTGCACTTTTGGTGTTTCCTCTGTCTAAGATTTTGACATTATCCCAATCAAATTGATGACTATAATTGTCTGTATGCATTGATACTAAAGAATACATACCGTGTCTTTTCACGGCTGATTTGTGATCCTGGATTCTAATTCGAAGGGGACGCCCACTTTGGCCGATGTAATGCTTGTTGCAGTTCATACAATTTATTTTGTAAATGGTATTAATTTTATCCCCTTTTTCTGTTGGATCTCTCGGTTTGAATAATATTGAATAAAGCGATTTTACTGGCTTGTGTGCTATATCTATATCAAACGGTTTCAGTATTCTAGCTGTTATTTTAGAGATATTTTCGCTGATGTATGGTAGAATGAATTTTCTTGTGGTCTTTGATGGTGGTTCTTTGTTGGCGTTGTTACTCAACTTTAAACACTTTTTGATGAAATTTTGTGGATAACCATTCTTTTTGAAGACAGTTTGTAGGTATTTTTCTTCCATTCTTTTCAACTCTGGAGTGCTACAATGTGTCTGAACTCTTTTAAGCAATGTCTGCACACAGTTTCGTTTGTGAGTAACTGGATTATTGCTAGTATAAATGAGTATTTGATCTGTGTGCGTTGATTTTCTATATACTTCAGTCTCTGAATCTCTTGTGTTGGTTCTCCTGATTAAGACATCTAAAAATGGGATTTTACTATCTAATTCTTCTTCTCTTGTGGATTTGATGTCTTCAAATATGTTGTTTATTAATTTATGAGTATATTCTAAATCATTTCTCTTAATTATTACAAATGTATCATCAACGTAACGTATCGAGATTTTCGGTTTAATTATAGGTAGAGTTATTAATTCTAATCTTTGCATAACGGCTTCAGCTATTAATCCTGATATGGGCGATCCCATTGGTGTTCCTTTTATTTGTTCATATATTTGAGTATTGAATTGGAAGTATGTTGTAAGGCATAATTTTATGAGTTCTATCCAAATTGAACATTGCGTTTTCATGTTTTCATCACCATAGAGTAATTGTTGCATAGTTTCTATTGCTAGTTTTGGACTAACTGAAGTGTATAATGCTGTGACATCAAAGGACATCATGATTTCATATTCTTCTACTTGGTTTTCTGACTTTCTAGCTGGCTAGCCTTATGCCCAACCCTGCCTATTTTCTGAGGCTCGGGACCGGTTGGGATACAGGGCTTCAAGTGAGCATAGAGAAGACGGAGTTGATGAAGTTAACCAAACAACCGGCAGCAGCAACAACAATAACCAGCATCAATCACTATCATTGGGAAAGATTTGAAAGAGGTTACTCCCTTCACTTATCTCGGAACAATCGTTTCAACCACAGGCACACAACACGAATGAAGATGTCAAAGCAGTGCAGAATAGGAAAGGCAAGAGTACACCTCCACCATCCTGAAAAGGATTTCCAACAGGCTTCTGCAGACTTCTGTCGATAGCTGCCACCTTCGCTTCTTCCATATTGGAGATCAAATGGCCTGCTCCAAAGGATAAACAACAAGGAACTCTGCAGTGGAATAAACCAAGCAAGAACCTACTGCTCAACAAATATGTAAAATTGTATGAAGAATTTCGTCATGAGCCGACATCAGTTAGAGAACCACTGGAAAACCTGGGAGTACTGAACAGCTGTTTCGCCAGCCTAGTTTGGGGCTCTTCATCAGTACGCACCCGCCACAGGAGGTTCGAACGCAGCACCTTGTGGTTACAGGGCTAGCGAGCTCTTAGACCATTCAGTGGCAACTGGGACCCGATCCAGTGGTCCTTGAATTCTAACTTGTGCCAATTCACGACATAGCGTGACCATTTTGCGATGTCTTGTTCGATGAGTTACTGCCTTAACTTCAACCTGCTCCACCCCACTGGTCACGGCTTCCCACTAGAACCACAGGTCACTGCCTGAACAGGGTCAGTCAATAGTGAGTATCAGATTAATTTTCAAGTATTGGTTTTGGTGGGATTTTGTTTGATTGCATGGAGGATTTCACCATGAGCTGACATCATTTAAAGAAGCACTGGAAAACCTATGTCGTGAATTGGCACAAGTTAGAACTCAAGGGCCACTGGATCGGGTCCCAGTTGCCACTGAATGGTCTAAGAGCTCGCTAGCCCTGTAACCACAAGGTGCTGCGTTCGAACCTCCTGTGGCGGGTGCGTACTGATGAAGAGCCCCAAACTAGGCTGGCGAAACAGCTGTTCAGTACTCCCAGGTTTTCCAGTGGTTCTCTAACTGATGTCGGCTCAGGATGAAATCCTCCATAAAATCAATAAAACAAAATCCCAACAAAACCGATACTTGAAAATATGTAAAAGTGAATGGAGATGGATTATGCACACCTTGAGGATTATCGCGGTGCATAGGCGAATGATAGAACTTAGCATAACACTGGCTACTGGCAAATCTGACATTGACTACATCTCAGTTTAAATACGGACGAAACCTTTGAAAGGGCATTCTAAAAATATTCCCATCTTCATTGATCAATAAATTTCGCTCTTGTAACTCATCTGACTACAAACATCTAAGATGTCAAGTGTGAGGCGTATCTGATGAAGAAGGCATATTATTATTATTATTGTATCCTTTTATTCCTAGAGGAACATAGGGCTTCAGCCGTGCGTCTCCACTGCGTTTGGTTCTCTGCTAGAGTCTTCACCTGTCTCCAAGTCTGCCCACACGTTTTCATCTCCTCTTCACATCACCTCCTCCAAGTCACCCTCGCACTGACGACCAACTCGCCGCTTCCCTTTCGGGTTCCAATCGAGCGATGGCTTGTCTAGTGATGTCACTTGATGGATTGTTTCCTCAGAGTATGGCCAGCCATTCCATCTCCATTTCCTTCTGCATATTTGTTTCACAATCGGTTCCTGGTCGGTTCGCTCCCAGAGATCCCAGAGAAAGCATCTTGACAGGAGAATAACACAAGAATACACTGCGTAGCCTTAGGGAACAAAGTTACTAAGACAACCACTCTCTCTTGTTTGTTTTTTTACTTTAAATGTTCGTCGAGGTGTGGCATGTGTGACTGACAAGGTTTATGAGTAGTATATAGATACAGACATAAATATGTATATCATCTGCAAGAATATCGAATAATGAAGAGATAGACTTAATGGCGAAGAGGAGAAAGACAAGACTGCACAATACAGAAGATATGTGAGAATTTTGATTTTAATATGTGTTATGACCAAAACTACAACCTAAGTACACTATGAGCGAATACTGACTTAATGCTCCGGCAAATCTGTCCTAATCGCACGACAACAACAAGGAAAACACTGCCGCGTCGAAAAGGCAGAAGAAAAGACTAGACGTTGATAAGAGAGCTTTCGCTGTCTCAAAACAACAGTCAAAAAAGGTTGACAGCGTTTGCATATATATATATGTGTTTAATATGACCTTGAGAAGCACTAATGTCATTGTTAAATTTAAGACAATGAACAATCAAAAGGATTTCAAAGGTCATAAGCAGCTCGAGAGGAAATTAGGTCGCAATCAGAAACTGAGGTGAGAGAAGTACAAAGAGACATGTAAAAATGACACGTAGAAAGTTAGGTCTGTATGTGATCAGTATGGTAGATGTATTTTGCCTATATATGTAAACTGAGTTGCCAATCAATGAATCCACTGCCAAATACTCTTGTGTCCTGCTATTACAATGGCACTGTGATGAGTACTACTGATAAGATTTATCAGTAGTATATAAAGTGACGTTCATCGTTGCGAAAACATCAAATAGCAGCGAGATACATTTGATCTCAGAGAAGGCAAATGATACAGTAGACTTGTGGAGATGCGTTGGGAGATGTGAAATAAACACAATATGAAGTCCAGTAGTACTACAACACGAAGATCTGTGCAAATGATGCGTCGAATACAAGGTATACATAATTTGGCTATAAATATACACTAAGTCTCTATTCCTTTTGCTGTATCAGCACTACAATAGTCGTCTTTAACAGATTCTTAGTGCCTTCAGATGACCCATAAATCATTTCTTTATTTCTTATGCTACTATAGTGCTTTCTTTACATGTGAATATTTCTCTCTGACGAAAAATAATGATAATGACGTCTCGAAAGTTTTGTGTAGGCACCAGGATTTCATTCGGAAACCAAAAATATTTGGATCCAACCAACGAGGCAGGGGCCTAACACACGTTGAGTGACTTCATAAGGGAAGAATGCATCAAGTTGGCTTAGATCAGTAAACAGTGTTAAACAACATGTCATTAATTCACATGTCCAGCAGTCTTTGGTTGGACTGGACTAGACTGTTTGGCTGGATTACTCAAGTTACTATAAAAAACTTAAAATTATTTTACAATACAGCTAATAATTCAAATGAACTGTAGTCAAGATTTGACAGAACAGTTCTAAAATATTTGGGCACCGAGTGAGAAGTAGACATTTGTAAAAATTATATTTATAAAATTGAAATGAGTAATTCCAACGTTTCGTTCGGCAATCTGGTCCAAACTTCTTCAGGGAAATTAATCGAAATTAACATAAAAGAGGTTTATATATAAAAGGAACAACTCTTGTTTTTTAAAAACTTTGTCCAATCACGAGTCATGCAACAGGCATCAACAAGTATAATAAACAAAATTTTATGAGCTGTGATCAAAATTTGACCTCGGACTTACAAATATTGGTCTACCTTTGTTAAACACTTTAAACAGAGTGTGTGTGTGTGGGTGTGGGTAAACAGTTGTAAAACATTTCTTAACGTCTCCATAAGAAGATATGGACAGTCGAGAATTTTGACCAAGTATTAATAATTAGTGATGCATATCCATTTTTTACATATTATTAAGGATTTCCTATGCATCAGCTAAAATCACGCCTTCATGTCTGTTCAAACTGTTAGTATCTAGAATTTTATGATTAGACGTATTTTCAAAATTATGGTGTTTAGGATTAGAGTTTAGTAGAAGCACCCTGTCGGACTTATTGCTTTGTCTTCTTTCTGAAGGTTGAGCTGCTTTATTCGACCCACTGGAGTTGTCAGGTGACTCGACAGCTACGGATTTAGGATACGCATTATTTTGCAAATAACGGAGACTGTAAACACGATGACTGTGCCAATTACACAGTTTCTTTGTTAATTTAATTCGATTGCAAAATAATTCAAATGAACTGTCGTCAAGATTTGACAGAGTAGTTCTAAAATATTTGGACGCCGAGTGAGAAGTAGACATTTGTAAAACATTATATTTGTAAAATCTCAGCGAGATTGAAATGAGTAATTCCAGCGTTTCGTTGGATGACTCATGATTGGACAAAGTTTTTACAAAACAAGATTTGTTCCTTTTATATATAAACCTCTTTTATGTTAATTTCGATTAATTTCCCTGAAGAAGTTCGGACCAGATTGCCGAACACAGGAAACGTTGGAATTGCTCATTTCAATCTCGCTGAGATTTTACAAATATAATTTTTTACAGCTAATAATTATTCATGATACTGAAGATGGATTCACTTTATATCCTCTTCTAATTTCTTAAGAGCTTCCTTAATCATTTAGTTATTCTCACTGTCCTGTGCATATTGTTCCACTGTATTATCATCAAATCTCTATTTTCATAATGTACACATAATGTTAAGAAATCTTGGGGCTGAAAGAGATGCAGTTTAGTGCAAAGGCATACACTGAATCTTCAGTCAGTCAGTTACATTTACTCATAAACACCTGGTGACATGTTTGTGTAACTGTACGAAGACTAAGTGCAGTAATCCAAAAAGTTTAAATAGTGGATTAAAGCGTATTTTACAAGCAGTCGTATTTAATAATTACCTTTCAAAATATCTGAGAAATTTCTTGCAATCTGACTTAGAAACTAGCGATGAGGTAAGTAGTGAAGGTAGTGTATGTCAAATGCAAGTGAGCACGATTTAGCACCGCTGTATATGTTTGTTTTTTGGAGAACTCTGCTACCAGTAACTACGGAACAGTAATTGGAAACGCCCAGCTGGGCGCTGGAAGGTAATATGAGCCCAGGGGGCGAGAAAGAATCATGTCAGCAGGAAGTAACAGCTTGTGGGTGAACGTAGAGTAAGCTAAAAAAACAAAAGAAAGACTGCAGAAGGATGAGTGAAAGGATGTTCTCCTGTTACCTAAGGAATGATTTTTTTTCAGAAAATCAGACAGAAAGCTAACATGTGATCTAGCCGTTAACTTTGGTGGTAAAAAGCGTTTATTGACGATTGAATACAGATGGTAAGCGGTTAAATCAAATCAAACAAAACGTGCATATTTCATTTTTTTGAAAAGTAAACATCATGTGATTTTATTAGTTTATTTATTCAGAGTTATAAGAAAATAATAACACACAAATGTTCCAATGCATCTCATTTCAGTAACATTTTCACACCTAGTAAAAAAAAATTTCACTTGGAGGAAGACCAGTAAAATATGAATGTCACAAAATCAAAAAGGATAATTAAATGAGACTGTAATTCCCTTCACCGTTATAGGTACCAACAATGATATGACTACTGTCGTTGATTTTTAAATAATGATTCAATGCGTATCTGTAACGATAACTTGGATGGTAAATAATGCCAATTAATTCACCACTGCTTGAACAACATGTTAAATGCTTAGATAAATCCCAGTCACTTAAATATTGTTGTTTTGCCTTTTGTTGAGCTATTTGTTCATCCTTTTCCTAAAAGATGAGAATTATATTTGCTTTAGTATTTTATACTACTAAAATTATAAATAAGTAGTTCACATCAATATTTCGGGATTTCGATATTTTATCCGGCTGCTTAATTGGTTAATAAATACTGAAGTTGGACAAACAGAGAAAAATTTAGCCAGTTAAGATATTGATTAACAGTGGAGCTCTAAAGGCATGTTTGATTTTAACGTAAACCCTACAGAAAGGTATAACCGTATTCTAATCAGTTTTGGATGAAACATGCATTTTGTATTTTACTGCAAGCCATTAGGTTTTCTTTCCTTCGCGTTCCCCAGTGGAACAGAGGGCCTCAAGCTAGTGGCTTGAAGTTTCTGTAGCAATGTTTATTTTACAGGATGGGGTTGCTAGCCTCATGCCCAACCTTTCCTCTTCACTGGCATTATTTCTGGCTTGGCGAGGTAAAGGAGTGCGTTGGCTGGGGACCATGTACATGGTCGGCGAGCGTCCTAACCGCTATAACACCGACCCACCCATTAACAGGCTAATTCCTAAAAAATTTCATCATTGATAACGTTTTAGCATCTGTGTCATTTGCTAAGATGCTAATACAGCTTAAATAACTTAATTCGGTGAATCAGTGTAGTGAATTAGACAATTTTTCGCTATTCATGTAGTGGGGTGATGATGCAGTTTAGAATGGAGACTCCAGATGTAAGAAGGTTCAGTGACTACTAGAGAGCTGTAATACTAATAATTTTGGTTTTGAATACCTCTCAATCTCCAAACTGAGTTCATCATACAAAAAAGACAAAAAATAGTGTTTCATGATAAAATACATTGAACAGATAGATAGATTCAGATTATAATTACCACTTGGACGGAATCCTTCGAAGTGAGAACAGGAGTAAGACAAGGCTACCTACTATCGCCCATGATTTTCTTGATTGCAGTAGACTGGATAATGCGACAAACAGCGGGCAATGAGGAAACAGGCATAAAATGGACTCACACAAAACACTTGGAGGATCTGAACTTCGTCGATGATATATGTCTGATTTCCCACAAACTGGAAGATATGCAAATGAAAAGCAACAAGTTGGCAGAAGAAGCATCAAACATAGGACTTCACTTCAGGTGAACACAGAGAAAAAAGAGGTGATGAAGATTCCTGGGCAACACCACCAACAGCAACAACAACAATTGACAACGATCAGCATAAATGGGAGGAACTTGAAAGAAACAACCTCTTTTACCTAACTGGGAAGCCTCGTTTCAACTACAGGCCGAAGGAACTGACGAGGATATCAAAGCAAGAATCGGAAAAGCAAGACAAGCTTTCAATACCCTCAAGTCTGTGTGGAGATAAATCGACAGCACAGCTCAGCATGAAAAATAACATCCGGATTTTCAACTCCAATGTGAAGTCAGTCAGTGCTACTTACTGTATGGGTCAGAGACTTGGTGCGTCATATAGAGCATCTCAAACAAACTACAGACCTTCATTAACAGCTGTCTTCGCTCAATACTCAAGATCATATGGCCAGCCGGCCAGAAAAGACCAGCAACAGAGATCTCTGGCAATGAGCGAAACAACCCAGCAGTAACCGATTGTGAAACAAATACGTAGGAAGAAATGGAGATGGATTGGCCATACTCCGAGGAAACAATCCATCAAGTGACATCACTAGACAAGCCATCGCTCGAGTGGAACCCGAAAGGGAAGCGGCGAGTTGGTCTTCCAAAGGTGACTTGGAGGAGGTCATGTGAAGAGGAGATGAAAACGTGTGGGCAGACATTGAGCCAGGTGAAGACTCTAGCAGAGTATCGAACGCAATGGAGACGCACGGCTGAAGCCGTATGTTCCTCTAGGAATTAAAGGAAACAATAATATTTTGATATGGTTGTGTTCTCTGAGCTGGATAGTTAATTTGCAAAGCTTTCATCATCCCACCACTAGGCAACATCTTCAGCGCATACTTCAATTTGAAGTGAGCTTTCAGATTTCTTCACGAGTTTATTAATCATCTCTCCCGGTGGGTGACCTTGGACGTGATTGGTTGTTTTTGTGTATTTTCACACCTTCTAGGCTACTTGCGGTATTGGAACTGATTGTTTCTTTGACTTGAACTTCGACCCTTTGCGTGTGTGTGTGTGAGGTTTCTTTCTCATCGGTTGATGAATTTTGTCTATCTCGATGTGTCTATTGATTGATGATTCACTGGAATGCCAGGCGGGCTTGGAAGAATTCTCTAGCATCCTCGGTGTTGTTTCCTCTGTCTAATATTTGAACGTTTTCCCAGTCGAATTGATGTCCGTGGTTGTCTGTATGTAGTGAGGCGATATGAGGGAGTGGATGTCATGTCTTTTGACAGCTAGCTTATGTTCATGGATACGAAGATGAAGAGGATGTCCACTTTGGCCAATTTAGTTAGTGTTTTTCGCAGTTGATACAGTCTATTTTGTAGATGATATTGGCTTTATCTCCTTTCGCTGTTGAGTCTTTTGGTTGACATAGAATTGAGTGAAATGACTTTGTTCGTTTGTGTACGACGTCAATTCCTAAAGGTTTGAAGAGTCTTGTAGTGATTTTTGAGATGTCCTTTATATATGGTAAGGCGATTTTCTTTGTGCTTTCCATGGGGGCTTTTGGTTTGATAGGTTTGCTTAACAGAATTGCAGCGAATAACAGTGTTAATTTGACTGGAAACTACTCAGTAACTAGTGCCCAGTTTTTGTCTAGACCTCATCCGGTCCTTTGTTTACTACAGACTGAATTCTTTTAGTCAAGTTTGCAATGTGGTCACCATGCCACTACCACTAGGTGGCTTACCATCATGGTGCACTAGGTGGTTTGAGGTAAGTTTCGCGCTAGTTGGCACTCACACCAGTCAGTCAATAAGACGTGTCTGCAATCACCTTGAAGGAACAGCTCATGTCCCCTTCTTCTGAGATTTGAACCCGCATCAGCAAGACACGTTACCATTAAGCTACTTGTGCTAGCGATTGAACTCCTGTAGGACTTTATTGGATACTTTTATTGGGAATTGTTAGTGCAAGTAGTGTAATGTGTCTAGGTAGCTTGCCACCACGGGGAAGACACGCCTTACTGACGAGTGCCAACTAGCACGAAATCCAGGTTCAAGGCTTCCTGCCAATTGCCTCTAACTATCTAATATCATCAAATCAAGGTGCACCGTGATGGTGAGCTACCTAGAATGGTGGCCACATTGCAAACCTGACTGATAGAATTCAGTCTACACCAAAATAAGGACTAGACACATCACACTAGTTACTAGTGTCCACTCAAACTACTCACTACAGTCCTACTGGAGGTCAATCGCGAGCCCAAATAGCTCAGTGGTAACGTGTCTGACTGCAACACTGGGTGGGTGACGTGGCCTCGAATCTCAGAATGGAAATGAGTTCCTTCAAGGTTGCAGATACCCCTTGCTGACTAGTGACCCCCAACTAGCACGAAACCTAGGTGAAGCAAGGCTTCCTGTGGCTGATTGCCTCTTCCAACTATCTAATATCATCAAAGGTATGTCATTATTCTTCTTTGCCTTATGTTAAGAAACGAAAGGTGACGTGTACTCACTTGTTTATTTCCTCCAAGTTTTGGTAACACCCTTGTAGGACTTCGTCGATCCCGTTCTGCTTGAAGTTCTGTAAGTGAAAGAGAAAAATGTGGGTTCTTCTTTCAATGTATTGAAAGTTTTATGAGAATCACTTACTTCAGAGTTACAATAATGATAATAGTAATAATAACGTCCTAATAACTGACTGTGTTGACTTATCAAGTTTCAAAGATACGCTCATTTATTGAAATGATAGTTATGACAACACAGTACAATACCAATTAAGTTGAGTTCTTCAGAGTACGAACAAGACGGACATCTTTGATATGATAATAGAACTTGTGCACTGTTTGTTAGATGACTATAATTCCATTGTGGGTAGAATTTATTTTGATAAAGTCACACAGTGTTATACAGCAAGTAATATCTACTGATGAACACGTTTCGAGCAGAATTTATTGCTGCTCAGAATCATCATATCTCAAGGCACTGCTCACACAACTTTCTAACTTCGTTTATATCATTCCATTATTTTTCATCGCTTGACTTGATTGGTAGTAGCATTCTCCATATTTCCGGTATGAGTGATGAGTCATTCCTATTGCACGTGTTGGATGTAGACTCGGTGAACCAGACAGGATTCAGTAATGAATCTCTCTGTACCTCCACCTATCTACATTACTTGCTAGAATTTTGAATCTGTCCCACATACCCTATTGTGTGATTGTATGTTGATGCATGCAGTGCACTTGCTGAAATTTTCTCTAAATTACTTATCTTCTCGGGGTCAGTCATTCGAATCTTGGATGAATTCTTAATATTCTTATAATCTCACAACTCCTGATCTATTAGTCGCATTGACCTATGTAGTTGACCACAGTCATGACAAGGCATTTTGTTGTAAATTACATTATTTTGTCTAATTGCTTCCACCGACAGGGTCCTTAACCTACAGAGCTTGTCTCTGAGTGAGTCTGTAGGTTGGAATGCCACCTTATTCCTGTTTTATTGAAAATTCTACGTAGAGTCTAAGATGTCCTTTCCTTACATGGTAAAACTACTGTAGGTGCAGTACATTCTTTCTTATTTATCATTATTATCATTATTAGTTTCACCATTACTTTTATTTTTATTTTGCTTTTGACGTGTTTTGATATTCCTAGTGAATTTTATAGGATAGTTATTCAACATCGACGCTTCTTCTTCTGTCTGCTTCATTTCATCGTTTAGGTGTTTTTTTTGTAAGACTCAGTGCTGTTATTGTTCGGTTTGTTAGACACTCAACTAGGCCTACCTTTACAGACCGACAACGGATGAGATGAATTAACGAAGTCCAAATATCTATTAGCAGAATGCGTTGGCGTTTTATAAAGGTTGTTGTGCAGTTTACCCTCCGCTGTTCGCTTTGTTTTACAATCTAACATCAAAGCTAATTCTCTTTGTTCATTTTCTGATTCAAATGTGAATTTTACTTCACTTTACTAAGGAGTTAGAGATATATGTTCTGCTTTTATCATTATTATTATTGTATCCTTTAATTCCTACAGGAACATAGGGCTTCAGTCGTGCGTCTCCATTGCGTTCTGTTCTCTGCTAGAGTCTTCACCTGACTCCTCTTCCCATGAGCTTGTCTAATGATATCACTTGATGGTTTCCTCAGAGTATGGCCAGCCAATCCATCTCCATTTCTTCCTCCCTATTTGTTTCACAATCGGTTCCTACTGAGTTGGTTGGCTCATTGCCAGAGATCTCTGTTGCTGATCTTTCCTGGCCGGCTGGCCATCTGATATTGAGTATTGAGCGAAGACAGCTGTTAATGAAGGTCTGTAGTTTGTTTGAGATGCTCTATATGACGCACCAAGTCTCTGACCCATACAGTAAGTAGCACTGACTGACTTCACATTGGAGTTGAAAATCCGGATCTTATTTTTGATGCTGAGTGGTGTTGACCTCCATACAGACTTGATGAGAGTAGTTAAGGCTTGTCTTGCTTTTCCGATTCTTGCTTTGATATCCTCGTCACTTCCGCCGGCCTGTAGTTGAAACGAGGCTTCCCAGTTAGGTAAAAGAGGTTGTTTCTTTCAAGTTCCTCCCATTTATGCTGATCGTTGTCAATTGTTGTTGTTGCTGTTGGTGGTGTTGCCCAGGAATCTTCATCACCTCTATTTTCTCTGTGTTCACCTGAAGTGAAGTCCTATGTTTGATGCTTCTTATGCCAACTTGTTGCTTTTCGCTTGCATATCCTCCAGTTTGTTAGAAATCAGACATATATCATCGACGAAGTCCAGATCCTCAAAGTTTTTTGTGTGAGTTCATTTTATGCCTGTCTCCTCGTTGCCCGCTGTTTGTCGCATTATCCAATCTACTGCAATCAGGAAAATCATTGGCGATAGTAGACAGCCAGCTTGTCTTACTCCTGTCCTCACTTCGAAGGATTCCGTAAGTTTCCCGTTATGGATTAATTGGCATGCAGCATTGTCGTACAGCTGTTGGATGAGATGTATAATTGTCGGCGGCAACCCATAGTAGCGAAGTAGTTGCCAAATCACCTCTCGATCGACGCTGTGCTATTGAAGGCCTTTTCAAAGTCGATGAAGTTAAGGTAGAGAGGTGACTGCCATTCCAGGCTTTGTTCAATGATGATCCGTAATGTGGTGATGTGATCAATGCATGACTTGTTTCTCCTGAATCCAGCCTGTTCCGGTCGAAGTTTTTCATCCAGTTTGGCGTGTTTGATTCTCTCCAGGATGATGCGGCTTAGTATTTTGCTTGGGATACTACTATGAAATATAGAAAATACTATTACTAATCAAATGAAGCAATGAAAAATAATGATGGAATGACATAAATGAAGTTAGAAAGTTGTGTGAGCAGTGCCTTCAGATATGATGATTCTGAGCGACAATAAATTCTGCTCGAAACGTGTTCACCAGTAAATATTATTAATTACTGTATAACACCATGAGATTTTATCAAAATAAAATTTTACCCACAATGGAGTTATACATAGACATCTAACTGGACGGAAAATACATGGTTATAGTCATTTTGCTTCTGGTTCTTACACCAAAAGTAACATCCGAGGTAGTGTATATAACAACACTGAGCGTCGGTAGCACAGCGGTTAGGACTCTCGCCCACCAATGCACATGGTTCGGGATTCGAACCCCCTGATATCAATAGTCGGCCTGCAAATTTGGTCTACCGATAACGCATGCTGAAAATTCAATACCTGCACCAAAAAGTACACTGTGTGGTTTCAAGCTATATAAACAAAATTAAATTAATTAACGGTATAATTTTTGTTTTGCCATGACAAACCATACTGGTACACTAACCTGGAGATAGATAACATTCATTTTTATGCCTTGTTGTCCATGATTTTAATTTACACACTTTTGAACAGAAATACACTCTTCGACAGCGTGAACATAACACCAAACGTATACCAGCTGATCGTCCGCATTCATAACAGAAAGAGTAGGAAATACAACTAAAATAATCAGAAAGAAGAAAGGATAAATAAACTGGGGAGGATTTAATAAAATGAAATCCAGAATCATGATCATGAGGTTCTAGTCTTCGTATAGGAAGATCCCATAGATGCCTACCAAAAAACAGAACGAGTGGACGGCTTAATGATACAACGAAATTTAACTTATAAGTAAGCAGAAGACGACGGACTCGGTGTCTGAATTGTGGTGACAGCTGTTTGTTAGCCAAAATTGTAGACAACAACTTAAATCAATGTTTACGACCCAAATAGGGGTCATGAGAAAAAACAGTAACAAAGAATAACCTTCCATATTAGTTTGTTTACTAGATGTATCACACAGTCTGTGAAACAGTATTATTAACTGGATGACAAGGTTTTGAACACAACTTATTATTGTTCATAATCATAACATCAGTTATAATCACACGATTTTGAAACTTGAGTTTTATGGTTGTTTTCTTTGTTATCTCCTATTTGTCGTCGTTGCGGTAGTAGAATTTCTGAATATCCCATCCTATGTCAGTAAAAATAGGGTTGGTGAAATGCTTAAGTAACAGAGCACAAAAAGTAAGTAGTACGAAGGAAAATCTAAGACAGGAAGTGAGGCATATAAGACAAGCTTTGAAACTTAGTAATTACCCTGATAAGTTAGTCAGAAAGTATGTAGGGAAATGTAAAAGTAAAAATAAAATAAATAATGGTAGTAGTGATAGTGATAATAATAATAATAATATCAATAACGACATGCATGTCAAACATACGCACGATAATGACAATACCAACAATAAGGAATCTAAATCACCAGTAGTAATTCGATACAAGGAAGGAACCTCGGAAACCTAAAACAAAATTCTTAACAAGGCAGGAATACAAGTGGCTGGCATTCAACCCACCCACAAACTCAATTGGAAATAAGCCTTGTCGGTTAAAGGATCAATCCTGTGGAACAGCACATTAAAGAAAACAATTTAGTTTATCTAATACCATACCTTCTGTGATTGTCAGATCAAATACATAGGTCAAAGTAGTAGAACAGGGGCAGTCAGCCGTATATAGCACTCATTACATGCAATTACTCACAACGACACCACACAATAGGATGGGATTGGATGACAGTTTTAAAATCTAATGTAACAGCTGGGTGGAGGGAGAGACTGATAACTGACTGAGGCTTTGTTTATCGAATCAACTGCAAACACGTGTAATAGGAGTGGATCAACACCTGTCCCTATCCCAGATATCTGGAAAATTCTGCTACCCCAACGACGATGAATAGGAGAAAACGAAGAAAACTATAAAACTCAAGTTTCGAAGTCGTGTGATTATAATTGATGATATGATTACGAACAATAATAAGTTGTGTTGCAAACATTTTTATCCAGTAAACAGTGATACTGTTTCACTGTGTGGTACATCTGATAAACAAATTAATATGGAATTACATATACTACCACAGTGCCCAAGTTTTACACATTTATTAACAGTGTAGAATCCATTTTCTACATATGGCGAGAACATAGGTGGAATCGTTCACTCATCCCTGTAAAGTGTGCTTATCAATTGGCCTTTGAGAGAACTACCATAATGTCAGTATTTTCTTTCCGATTAACTTGAGTATATATTTTAAGTCCTATGCACAAATGGTTTAATAACTATCTGTCCGTCTACCTGTCTATTTACTTATCACCAATATCCCGGATAAATAAACTTGAGGATGATATCACCAGTGAGTACAGCTGAATTATAACAATAGTCTCACTAGTAAAATATTCCCATTTAGTATCAAATGTAATTGTGTACTGTAAGCATAATAGAACAATTGACTGTTAGCTTTGCACACATTTTGTACAGTAATGAACACACACACACGTCGGTGGTACAGCGATAGGGTGCTCACCGACCACTTAAGTGGTCTGGGGTTCGATCCCTGGCCACAGACGCACTCCTTCACCTCTCTAAGCTGGTGATCAGATTGATAAAGAGGGCAGTTTGGGCATGAGACTAGCCACCCCACCTCGTAAAAATAAATTCCACTGAAACTGAAACTTTAACGCTCTAGCCTGAAGCCCTATGTTCCATGGAGAAATGTAGAGGAGTTTTTAAAAAGGATTTTCTAGTTAACCTCCTCCATCTTCGAACAAATTAATATTGAAAATAACTTCTTATCACCTAGAATTTGTTAGATAGTTCACGGCCGCCACACGGAAGCAACCGTCAAGGAGGCGGGATGTCCATGAATCTGAGTTTCACTCTGATTGACACTTATCGACAAGGTGTCTCGGCAACCTGGAAGGAAATAACGTCCACACGTCATCCAGTGCTACAATCAGAGATGTTACTGCTGAGCTATTCCGACTTATGACTCATCTTATGTCTCACTATAATACATACTATGTGCTGACTAGGGAGAGCCAATACACATGGAAGGAACCTTGGTTCAGAACTTCTTCCCAATTAGCTAACATTAATTCAAAGCGCACCACGAACCCGCATCATTCACTAGTTACTGGAGAATAACCAATATCATATATGAATTCCACAGTGATCTCTGAAGTCTAGCATCCCAGTCAGTTTTCAGTGTGTCCACCAAAAGCTTCACAACTATTATCGCTGTGTCAAGTTCTCACACCAGTATAAATGACTAGATACAAGATCCTGAATGCTCCCTGTCAAGCAACCATTTTACATCTGGACTACTACTACTACCTGCAAACGAGTGATCAGCGATTTATAAATTCTGACAATAAACTACATCCCGTGTCATGTCATCCATCAAAGCGTGAACAAAATGCAATTTACAAAAACTGAAGAATAAAACAGCAAAAGATTATGCCAACTGATGTATGGTTAGCTGGTCAACTGGTTCATTAAAAAGGGAATAGCGAGGAAAGTTGAAAAAAAAACACTTAATCCGCGGAAGGCGTTCGATATAGCGATGTATGCATACTAACCTTTTTTGTCTTAGATAAGTTGGAGATTGTTGAGAACGTTTCGGAAAGGCTGGGAAAAAAAATCAAAGAAAGATAACACAAAAGAGATGAGTAGATTTTATCTTCTCATCAATTTTCAATAATCATCATCTCTGAAGTCAAATGATGTCGATGTTAAGAAGGAAATACTTAATTAGGTCATTAACTGATATTACATTTCAGGTAACATTTTATTGGAAACCAGTTAGTAACTAGTGTTATGTTTTGGCTGGAAAGCGCTCCACTTCTCAGCTAACTGAAAGTGGTGTGCCTCAAGGTGCAGTACTTTCTCCATTTCTTTTCTCTTTCTTTTTGCATGACCTTCCGAACTCACCCAAAGTTAACTTCATTAAGTATGCTGATGATCTGACCATTTCTGTCCCTGTAGTTTCCACATCGGATTGTTCCCATATGAATGGCTTCTTAGCTGAAGTTAAGGATTGGTCTGGCTCAAATTGTCTTAAACTAAATCCAACTAAATGTAATACTGTTGATTTCAGCTTGAGAAGTGAGAAAGACATGCATGGATTGATCCAATCTCATGATTGTTGTAATATTGATGGTATCATGATAGAGAGTAAGTCAAGTGTTTCTTATCTTGTCATTAGTTTCTCTTCAAACCTTTGCTGGTCGTCTCATATTCTTATAGTTTCTAAGAAGATTTTCTGTCTGACTTATTACATAAAGAAGTTGAGGCACTCAGGTATAACCCAATCTCTTCTCATACAATTTATTAATTCATGTGTTTTGCCCATCATTCTTTATTGTTCTCCATTATTCTTCCCTGGGCTACTCAAGAAAGACCATATAATCCTACGAAGAACATTGAAGGCTGTAAGTAGGGTCAGTGCTATCCCTTTGACTCAACTAGGCACATGAATTCTTGTAAACACTTAGCTAAAGTTATTTTGTCTGATAGTGAACATCCTCTTTATTCACAATTGTTTCCTTGTATCTCTTCGGGTAAGACCAGAAATAATTTCGTAAACATTTATGCTCGTACTACAAAATCTACAAATTCGACCGTACCATATTTGGCACGAGTATTGTGTGAAGAGACGAATATCAGAAAAGAACTTTTACAACTTTTAAATCATTAACTAAATTATAAAATGTAATGATGCATATTATTGCATGTGTGATTTGTTATATTATTTATATATTATCTCACTATGACCTAGAAATGGTGTATTTTGTTGGGGTTTTATTTTTTCTTATTAACTATCAATATTTTTAACATTTCATAAATTTATATAATTATAAAAAGAGCTAAACCAATGCAATATGTAAAATGAAACGCTGAAAATTCCATGCAGTAAATTGTTATTGTTGTGGAATAAAGTGATTATTATTATTATTAATTATGTGTCTAGTCCTCTGTTTGGTGCAGACTGAATTCTATCAGTCACGTCTGTAATGTGGCCATCATGCCACTAGGTGGCAGGCCATCCCAGTGCACTGTGAATTGTTGGTATTAGATGGTTGGAGGCAATCGGCCACAGGAAGTCTTGCTCGACCTAGGTTTCGTGGTAGTTGTCACTCATCAGCAAGGCGTATCTGCAACCTTGAAGGAACTGATGTCCCTTCTGAGATTCGAACCCGCGTCATACAGTGCTTCACTAAATGGTGTTGCCAATGAGCTATTCGGACTAGACACATTACACTAGTTACTAACTAGTATCCAATCAAAATTATCTAATACTATCCCACAGGAGGTCAATCATGAACCCGAATAGCCCAGTGGTAACAACTCTTAATGCAGCATTGGCTGGGTGATGCGGATTCGAATCTCAGAAGTGATGTGAGTTCCTTCAAAGTTGAAGATACGCCTTGCTGACGAGTGCCAACTAGCAATAAATCTTGCTCAAGTAAGGCTTCTTGCCAATTACCTCCAACCATTCAATATTTCAGTTAACAAACATTACAAAATAACTGAGCAAAGAATATACTTTTCGATAATTTCTTCTTCCAGCCCCACAATTATATATGCATGTTTATATACATAGAATATTCTAGATTAGTATTCACTGGAAATACAGCTCATTAAAGATGCTTAAATAATAATAATAATGACATAATAGCAAGTAGAATATCAAATAAAATTAAAGAACTTTCCACAACCAATTGAGGATCACTCAAACCTAGATGACCAAGGTAAGAATAATTCCTGAAATACCTACTTTTGGAAGCACAAATTAAGCTTCTTAATGTGGATCTCAACAGCCAGCCTCAGCAGTATTTAGTAATCGAAATCTTAATGCGAAATTAAGTTTTGTTGGTATGCGGTAAATGACTTTGAAAGCCGCGTCGTTGACATCAATCTTGCGTTTTGTATCCGCAAGGTCAGATAGAATAGCGCTACCAAATAGATTTCGTTTGTTCCTTACTCAACCGCGCAGAGTGATGTTCAGAAATCCGAGACGAGAAACACGCCTAATTGTACGGCCTATACAACTAACTGGTTCACTCCACAGGGGCAGTTAAATTGGTAGATACACATGGAAGAGGCGAAATTAGGCAGTTCATCTTTTATTCCCGAATGCAAAATAGGGGTAGGTGGTTTTGAAGACACAGTTTAATTCAGCAACAGGGAATGCTCTTTTTACCGCATTTCTAAGGCGTTATTTTAGTATCCCGCTGATATTTTCCCCGAGTAACTGAATTTGTAAGAATGAGGACTTTTCACGAACTGTTGGTACCTTGGACTGCTTTGATTTCAGATTCAGATTCTTATCAATAAACTTTTCTGGATAACCATTTTCATGCAGCAACCATTTAATATTATTAAGTTTTTCATCAAGACACTAATATTGTTATTGACTACTATTCGGGAATATTCTATGTATATAAACACACATATGTATAATTGTAGAGCCAGAAGAGGAGGAAATTATCGAAAAGGATATTCTTTGCTCAATTATTTTGTGTTTATAATAGATGTCTGAATGAATATTCTCGCTATAACAAAAATTAAACGAAATTACAAAATCCACTAAGTATAATTCAACTCATTAGTTGAAAAATTAACAACTTGACATCCACGATAACTGAATTTTCATTTGAAATGTTTTTAACGTTATGTATTACTGAAAATCTCACAATGAGACAAAAGTCTATCCAGTTTTTTATAGTCCTTAGTAGTGTGAATGACAAATCAACATGCGATCAAACGGTGGAACATAAGATCGACGAGACAATCACTGCCAGTAGAAGCGAATACACTGACACAGCAGAATCTTTGAGGTCTCTCGCATACAGTCAGGTTAAATAGGAGAGAGAGAGAGAGCCACAGATATTTCATTCATAGGGAATTTCAAGAGTGCAGCGCACAGTGAAGTTCTCTTTGAAGATAATACATGTAAGAACACACAAAAAAAATAACTGAATGTTAATTCACTACTTCGTAATTAAAAATGTTTGCAAATAACATCTTCCAATACCATCAACGGGAGGGATGTGAAAGAGGTTACTTCTTTCACTTATCTAGGGAGCATTGTCTCAACCACAGGAGGAACGGACGAGGATGTCAAATCGAGCGAGAATCGGGAAGGCGAGAAACACATTCATCAACCTGAAACCAATCTGGAAATCTTCCCCCGTCACTCAGCCTGCATCAACAACAAAGTGATTCGGATTTTCAATACAAACGTCAAGTCAGTCAGTTCTTCTATACGGATCAGAAACTTGGCAGCGGGTCACAAAGAATATTTCCAACAGCCTGTTGCAGACCTTTATCAACAACTGTCTTCGCTGGCTCTATACTGAAGATTAGATGGCCAGAAAGAATCAGAAACAAGAAGCTATGGGAACAAACAAAACAGGAACCAATCGCCCAACAAATATGCAGGAAAAAGAGGAGATGGATTGGACACTCGCTGAGGAGGCCGCTGGGTGATATCGCTCATCAGGCTGTCGAGTGGAACCCGAAAAGGAAGTGGCGAGTGGGACGTCAGTGCAAGGGTGACATGGAGGAGATCGTGTGAATAGGAGTTGAAACAGTATGGATTAACATGGATGCAAGTGAAAAGTACAGCAGAAGACAGAAGCAATTGGAGGCATGCAGTTGAAGCCCTATGTTCCACTAGGAACCCAAGGGAACAATAATAATAATACAAATGAAATCAATTGTATGTTCTGCAGTAAGTAACTGGTGGCTTCATACACATAACAGAAGATTTGTTAATTGATAGTGTAATTCTAGGCACATTAATACTTCTAGTTACACTAATATCAGTACAGGCTTAATTCAGAGTCATACTGACAGTAAGATGACAGAAGCCGATTATGCAATCAAAGTTCACCTCATCCAAATGCAAAAAACCTGAACTTGGTGTTCAGAAGAAATTTATCCAACCCCTTTTACCATCGGACAATAGATGTTTTGATTCCTGGGTTCTCTGAGCTGAGTAGTTCATCTAGGAATTATTCATCATTGACTACAAAATCAAGATATCGCTACAGAGATATTGTCTAATAAAAACCATTTAGCGAAAATATTCATTCAGACTTCTATAAAACACAAAAAAGTAATTGAGCAAAGAATATCCTTTTCGATAATTTCCTCCTTTTCTGGCTCTACAATTATATGCATGTATATATGTTTATATACATAGAATATTCTAGATTAGTAGTCAGTGACAATAACGAAAGACTCTAGTATTTCATTTCTAGACGTCCTTATGCCCGGAAAAGAGGACGGCGCAATAAGCAGAACTGCATACAGAAAACCTACATCAACGGATCAGTATAATCACTTTTTCAGCTTCGTGCCCTTCAAATACATACGCAATCTGATAAAGTGCTTGGTTCACAGAGCAATAGCAATCTGCTCGGATGAATGTCTTGATGAGGAACTCAATAATATTAAACGGTTGCTGAGTGAAAACGGTTATCCAGAAAAGTTTATTGATTAGAATATGAATCTAAAATCAAAGCAGCCCCAAGGTACCAACAGTTCTTAAAAAGGCCTTATTCTTACAAATGCGTCGGTGGCATAGCGGTTAGGACGCTCGCCGATCATGCACATGGTCCGGGGTTCGATCCCCGGCCACAGACGCACTCCTTTACCTCGCCAAGCAAGAAATAATGATGGAGAAGAGGAAAGGTTGGGCATGAGGCTAGCAACTCCATCCTGTAAAATAAACACTGCTAAAGGAACTTCAAGCCACTAGCTTGAGGCCCTATGTTCCACTCGGGAATGTGAAGGAAAATATATATATAATATAATATATACTTACAAATGCAGTTCCTTGGGGACAACATCAGCGAGATACTAACAAAGCTTCTCAGAAACGCGGTAAAAAGAGCGTTCCCTGCTGCTGAATTACTCTCAGTCTTCAAAACCACCCCCAGTTTTGCGTTTGAGAGTAAAAGACAAACTGTCTAATTTCGCCTGTTTCATGTGTATCTAGCAGTTTAACTGCTCCTGTGCAGTGAGCCAGTTAGTCGCATAGGCCGAACAATTAGGCATGTTTCTCGTCTCGGATTTCCGAACATCACCATGTCTGGTTAAGTAAAGGAGAAACAAAATCTATTCGCAGCGCTATTCTATATCATCTTGAGGATACGGAACACAAGAATGATGTTAACCATGCTTTCGAGGTCATTTACCGCATACCAACTAATGTCAATTTCGCCTCGATTAATAAATATTGCTGAGGATGTTGGGATCTACAACAAGAAGCCTAATTTATGCGTCCAAAAGAAGATAGTTCAGACATTATCCTTACCTTGGCCATGTAGGTTCAAATGATCCTGAAATTTTGTAGAAATTTCCCTAATTTTAGTTGATATTCTATTTGCTATTATATCTTTATTATTTTTACTATTATAATTTAAGCATCTATAGTGAACTGTAATTCCATCGAGACCTTACTTAACAAATCGATATTATTTAAAAAAACACCAATATTGTTATTGACTACTATTCTAGAATATTCTATGTATATAAACACTCATGTATATGTAATTGTAGAGCCAGAAGAGGAGGAAATTATCGAAGGGGATATTCTCTGCTCAATTATTTTGTCTTTTTAAAGATGTCTGAATGAATATTTTCGTTATATTGAAAGGCATAGTTTGTTTAGCTGAAGTTATTCAGTACAGCGAAAATATTCATTTAGACATCTAGAAAAAATTTTAGAAAATCCAGTATTGAATATCCTTTTCGATTATTTCCTCTTCTGGCTCTACATTTATATAGATATATGTGTTTATATTCAAAGAATATTCCAGAATAGTTGTCAATAACAATATAGGTGGTTTTCAGATAACATCGATTTGTTAAGTAAGATCAATGCAATTATAGTTCATTAAAGATGTTTAAATTTTAATGATCATATAGATATAATAGCAGCTATAGGATATAAACTAAAATTAAGGAAAATCCCACAAAAATTGAGGATCATTCGAACCTAGATGGCCACGTGGTAAGAATAATGTCTGAACTGGTTCCTGAAAAGGCCTTAATCTTACAAATTCAGTTCGTCGGGGACAATATCAGCGAGATACTAACACAGCGTCGTAGAAATGCGTTGAAAAGAGCATTCCGTGTTGCGAAATTACGCTGTGTATACAAAACCACCCCCCCTCCGTATTTTGCGTTCGGGAGTAAAAGACAAACTGCCTAATTTCGCCTCTTCCATGTGTATCTACCAATTTAACTGCCCCTGTGGAGGCCGAACAATTTGGCGTGTTTCTCGTCAAATTTCTGAACATCACCCCGCATGGTTAATCAAGTAAAGGAGAAACAAAATCTATTCGTAGTGTTATTCAATTTGATCTTGCGGATACACAGTACAAGGTTAATATTAACCATGCTTTCAAAGTCATCTACCGCATACCAACAAATCTTATTTTCGCCGTAAGATTTCGATTACTAAATATTGCTGAGGCTAGCGGTTGGGATCCACATTAAGAAGCTTAATTTATGTGCCCAAAAGAAGTTGGTTAAGGCATTATTCTTGCCTTGACCATCTAGGTTTGAATGATCTTCAATTGTTTGTGAAAAATGCTTTAATTTTATTCGATATTCTATTTGCTATTATATCTCTGTTATTATTATTATAATTTAAGCATCTTTAATGAACTGTAATTCCATTGTGATCTTACTTAACAAATCGATATTGTTTAAGAAACTCTAATATTGTTATTGACCACAATTCTAGAATATTCTATGTATAAAACCATTTAGTTGAGAGGCCACAGCGGGACCTAAAAATATACAGTGGGTTATTATCTGTTTGCATTACAGAATCCGATATTCTTTCCGAACATGTACCAAAAAGCCTATGTCTAAAAGGAACAAATGCTTTCAACAATGCCATCGTTAGGCATGTCCTTAATACGGAACATGAGGTGGAAATCGCAAGATCGTTCAAAACTACCAATCGCCAAAACAGTTCAGTTCTCGTTAAGTTTGCTGAAGCAATCTACATCAAGTCCATCAAAACCCGATTTATGCATTCAGAAAGAAGCAGTAATCAGTCTTTCTTTGACCTGCCTGAAAAACGGAATATTTTCACTCTCTCTCTTTCATCTGATTACGTAATGTCGAGAGTTTCCATTGTGCACGATCATTATTGTTCGAGATAAAGTGTTGATTATTATTATATATATTATTATTGTATGCACATATTGATTGATTTTTGTTTAAAAATGAACTCTGTTCAAGTATGTTGAAATTGTTTCTGTAGATATACTTAAAAATGACTTCGGCCTGTAAGCAGCTGATGAGAATCCAATGAAATAAACAATGATGGTACCAATTTATTCTGCACAAATCACTGTTGTTCTTGCTTTATTCAAATTCATTCAGCGGAATAAATGTATGAAATGACGAATGTTTAAGGTAAAAAAAGAAGAAGAAAAGTGATTAAATCGAAGTATATAGAATTCTTCTTTGAGAAATAACACTCTGTTTTCCAGGAGAAAAAAATAAAAAGAACGCTACATAACACTTACATAGTTTAGCTTGATTTTCACGTGTTCCAGTATTTATCTGTTGAACAGCCTTATCGTCACCATCGCCATCACCATCATAACCATCACCCAATGTATCCAGTGAATAGGCGTAACGTCTTAAACGATCAGCTAAGTAAGCTAAAATTTGTATACGACCATTATAAGTCTCTTTTTCAATTTCATTCAATGCATGATATGGTGTTTTAGTGATTCGTAAATCTTTTGCATAGTCCATATATGTGAAATCAATCACATTGCCTGTAAAGTAATTTTTAAACATAATCAATGAGTCATTAAAATAAACACTAGAAAATAACTGAATTTTTGTGCTAAAATGGTTTAACTACTTATAATAGTCACAGTAGTGTGCAGTGTATATTGTAAAACGAATTTGTCATGTCGAGTTGAAAATTACGTCAATATATAATATGCTATTCGGAACATTAAAACAGGTTAGATTAGTAGTGAGTGAAACACAGACATATAAAGGTCACTAATTACAATTACATTTAACGACAAACCATAAAATGGAGAGAAGAACAATATTATTGATACAATATCGTCATATTTTTGTTGTTGATTATAACAAAAAGATTAACTGATTGAGGAAACACTCGTGTTAGACAACTTCATAGTGAAGCTGTGTAGAAAGTATTTGCATTCGTTAAAAAAATGAAACAAGTTGAAGATGAGGCAGTAACTCATCGAAGAAGACATTGAGAAATGGTCGCGCAATGTTGTGAATTGACAGAAGTTAGAATTCATGGGCTGGCTGGCCATTGCATAGGGTCTCAGTGGCTACTGAATGGTCTACGAGCTCACTGGCCTTGTAACCAGTAGGTCTTGGGTTTTAACCTCCTGTGGTGGGTGCGTGCTGATGAAGAGTCTCAAACTAGGAAGAAACAGCTGTCCAGTACTCCCAGGTTTTCCAGTGGTTCTTTAACTGATGTCAGCTCATGATGAAATTCTGCATCCAATCCGAAAATATATCACAGTATCAAGAATAAACTGCCGCTTACGTCCACCTCTATGTGCATGCACTCATTCACATGCTTGTGTGGAGCTGATTACATTGGACGGTCTAAGCGTGTTCTCCGTGAACGCGTAGCTGAACACTACCTGGTTTGGTTAATGGTAGATAAGCATAGGATTACGAAGTCTCCCATTTCTAAACACCTACTAGAGTCGGGTCACCAGGTGTTTTATCCTTTCAATTTATTTACAGGACTAAATTCAACCACTCCAATTGTTTACGTTTTCTCCACTTATGCATAACCGAAGCTCTAGCTATACATGGACAGAAACCCAAATTGTGTGTTCAAGAAAGTTTTGTTAAACCCCTTTCTTTACTTTAGTCATAGTAATGTCCTTTTATTTTATTCGTTATCGCCACTTGGATTCATTCCATTTCACCTCATCTTCGCCGTCGTCACTGTTGTCATCATAGCGATAGCGGGAGGTAGAAAAACGCTGCGAAACAGGAGCCACTTGGTAAGAATGTCACTCGAAATTAGAACTCAACAGTGAGCGCCAATATTCCTATTTGAGACTTCGAGTTATGTGGTGATCACATTATCAGTCAGTCACTTAGTCGGAATCCAGTGCTCCGTGAATGCTTAATTTTGTCATGTGAGATGAGGTAAATGAAAATCAAAAAAAGAGTTACTTGAGTAATTAAATAATCAATAAGAGATATAAAAGAGGCATAGTTCGGTCAGATAGTATCAAATAATGGTGATACTATCAGTAAAAACAGATGACAAGGTAAAGAGGAAGAAAAATTAACTTGAAAAGCCTCAAAAAGACCGTGGAATTTTACAGACTGATTCTGAAAACATACAGTTAGTGTGTGTTTCAGCTGTAGGCAGGTGATAAGAACTGTAGATTGCCTCAAAATGTTTAGCTGTATTCAGCTGAATAATCTAACTCTATGAAGCGTTCTCAAAATCCAATGTCTGTGAACTACATTAATAATAATAATAATCACTTTATTCCACAACAATAACAATTTACAGCATGGAATTTTCAGCGTTTCATTTTACATATTGCAGTGGTTTAGCTCTGTTTATAATTATATAAATGTATGAAATTTTAAAAATATTAATAGTTAATAGGAAAAATAAAAAACCCCAACAAAATACACCATTTCTAGGTTATAGTGAATAATAAATAAATAATATAACAAATCACACATGCAATAATATGCATCATTGCATTTTATAGTTTAGTTAATGATTTAAAAGTTGGAAAAGTTCTTTTCTGATATTCGTCTCTTCACACAATACTCGTGCCAAATATGGTACGGTCGAATTTTTAGATTTTGTAGTACGAGCATAAATGTTTATGAAATTTCTTCTGGTCTTACCCGAAGAGATACAAGGAAACAATTGTGAATAAAGAGGATGTTCACTATTAGACAAGATGACTTTAGCTAAGTGTGTACAAGAATTCATATGCCTATTGACAACAGTGTCAGTTAGTTGAGTCAAAGGGATAGCACTGACCCTACTTACAGCCTTCAATGTTCTTCGTAGTATTATATGGTCTTTCTTGAGTAGCCCAGGAAAGAATAATGGAGAACAATAAAGAATGATGGGCAAAACACATGAATTAGTAAATTGTATGAGAAGAGATTGGGTTATACTTGAGTGCCTCAACTTCTCTATGTAATAAGTCAGACGGAAAACTTTCTTAGAAACTATAAGAATATGAGACGACCAGCAAAGGTTTGAAGAGAAACTAATGCCAAGATAAGAAACACTTGACTTACTCCCTATCATGGTACCATCAATATTACAACAATCATGAGATTGGATCAATCCATGCATGTCTTTTTCACTTCTTAAGCTGAAATCAACAGTATTACATTTAGTTGGATTTAGTTTAAGACCATATGATCCAGACCATGAAGCCATTCATATGGGAACAATCCAATGTGGAAACTACAGGGACAGAAACGGTCAGATCATCAGCATACTTAATGAAGTTAACTTTGGGTGAGTTCGGAAGGTCATGCAAAAAGAAAGAGAAAAGAAATGGAGAAAGTACTGCTCCTTGAGGCGCACCACTTTCAGTTAGCTGAGAAGTGGAGCGCTCTCCAGCCAAAACAGTATGCTGTTTCCTATCCTTAATATAAGAAGACAGCCATCTAGTTGCCCAGGTCTCTGTCTGTGCTGAAATCATCTTTCCTAATAAAAGTGTCCTAGGAACAGAGTCGAAAGCTGCAGTATAGTCTAAAAAAGCTGTTCGAACGAACTTAGCACCCTTATCAAGGCTGGAAACAATATTGTGGTGTAGTACAATGGCTGCATCTAATGTACTTCTTCCACACTTATAATCAAACTGCTTAGGGTCACTAAAAGCTTTTAAAGAAGGTTTAAAAGTATTCAAAAGAAGTTTCTCCATAGTTTTCAAAAAAGGAGATGTTATAGTGACTGGTCTAAACTTTATACCTGCTCCAGAAGATAATTTCTGTACAGGTACAACCTTGATTTCTTTCCGGTCAGCAGGTACCGTTTCCTTGTTAAATGATGCATTAAAGATTTGAGTAAGAGGATGACACAAGATGTCTGCACACTTTTGAAGAAGAATGCCTGGTACACCATCTGGACCAAGGCTGTGTGTTGGATTTAAAAATTTCAAACATAATAGTACATCCTCTTCTTTAAAACCCGGAAAAGGAAAATCGAAGGTGTCCTTATGTTTTCCTTCAAGAGAAACTGTTTATGAATGGTAAAGGAGCATTCGGAATGACAGATACTCACAGAAGTGAGTACCCTTCAGACATTGTTAACCGAGCAACAGTTATATGAGATGAGATGAGATGTAAGCTGACAAATTATACAGCTCATTTAATGCACTTAGGTAGAGGTTCCTTTATTAGTAATTAACCCGTTACAGTAACCTTACTTTTCGAATTTTTATAGCGGGTATTTATTTCGGATTTATTCAAAAACCAGCAACTAGAAGGCTGATGACCATTGGAGATTTGTTTAATGCTATTCATGATTATGTGATAATGACTGAATTTCAGATTATTCTCATTGCTGTATAAACCCGCATCCGGCAAGTAAACATTTAGGGGATGAATAATATAGCAGTCTTGAAATAATAGAGAAGATTTGTAGCTCAGGTGGATGATTTGCAATTAAAAGTGTTCTCTGAGCAGCTGGTTGGTTTAGTTGCGGAGGAGCTTTCGTCGTCCTTCTGGACAGCATCTTCAGCGCCATATTTAGCACAAAGTGAAATGATTTAAATTTCTTCATGAGTGATGTAATTGCGTCTCCTGGTAACTGTCTTTACATATGTATTGACCACTTTTTATTGACTTGGATTTTAAACATTCTGGTCACCTGATTTACTTTTTATTAATTGGTATATTTCATCTATATTAACGTGTTTGTTAATCGCATTTTCGCTTGAGTACCAGGCTTCTAGGAATTCCCTGACTGCACTTTTGGTGTTTCCTCTGTTTAAGATTTTGACATTGTAGCACTCCAGAGTTGAAAAGAATGGAAGAAAAGTACCTACAAACGGTCTTCAAAAAGAATGGTTATCCACAAAATTTCATCAAAAAGGGTTTAAAGTCGAATCACAACACCAACAAGGAACCATCATCAAAGACCACAAGAAAATTCATCCAACCATACATAAAAAATATCTCTAAAATAACAGCTAGAATATTGAAATTGTTTGATATAGATATAGCACACAAGCCAGTAAAATCGCTTAATTCGATATTATGCAAACCAAAAGATCCAACAGAAAAAGGGGATAAAATTAATACCATTTACAAAATAAATTGTATGAACTGCAACAAGCATTACATCGGCCAAAGTGGGCGTCCCCTTCGAATTAGAATCCAGGAACACAAATCAGCCATGAAAAGACACGATATGTATTCTTTAGTATCAATGCATATCGACAATTATAGTCATCAATTTGATTGGGATAATGTCAAAATTTTAGACAGAGGAAAAACCAAAAGTGCAGTCAGGGAATTCCTAGAAGCCTGGTACTCAAGCGAAAATGCGATTAACAAACACGTTAATATAGATGAAATATACCAATTAATAAAAAGTAAATCAGGTGACCAGAATGTTTAAAATCCAAGTCAATAAAAAGTGGTCAATACATATGTAAAGACAGTTACCAGGAGACGCAATTACATCACTCATGAAGAAATTTAAATCATTTCACTTTGTGCTAAATATGGCGCTGAAGATGCTGTCCAGAAGGACGACGAAAGCTCCTCCGCAACTAAACCAACCAGCTGCTCAGAGAACACTTTTGATTGCAAATATAGTAGTCTGATAGTCAAAATTATCTGTAGTCATGATACTTTAATTAGTTGACTTTATTGATCGTAAATTCGAACTCAGCCTAGAAGAAATCCATCTGAAAGTTAAATACCGATAAAAGTCCAGTTGTAATTAAGGATTATGGATAGCTGTTCATTGGTGATATTAGACGGCAGTTCTTCACTATTCACAAATATTAGAACTCGAGGATTGTAGACCACTGAATACTGAACTATTTGCAGCAAAGTGTAAAAGACTTCCTACCTAGTGATCGGCTTTGAGAATATGACTTATTAATATTATTATTCCCTTGCGTTCCGAGAAGAACATAGGGCTGGGTCCACGATTCACCAGACTCTCTCATCTCGTCCTCACACGATCTCCTCCATATCACCCTCGTACTCACAACCCACTCGTTGCTTCCCAACGGGATTCCACTCAAGAGATGGCCTGGTGTGCCATGTCATCCGGTTGCCTCCTCAATGTATGCCCGATCAACCTACCACCACTCTCTCCTACATATTTGTTGAGCGACTGGCTCTTGCTCAGTTGGTTTGTTCCCATAGTTTCCAATAGCTTATTCTGTCTGGCTGAACTCAGAGAAGGCAGCTGTAGATGAAAGTCTGCAACCTGTTGGAAATCCTTTTCGTCACACGCTGGCCAAGTTTCTGACCCATATAGAGAAACTGACTGACCGACTTGACATTGGTGTTGAAAATGCGAATCTTCTTTTCTTATGCTGAGTGTAGTGCAGAAGATTTCCAAACTGGTTTCAGGTTGACGAAGGCATATCTTGCCTTACATTTCCGATTCTGACATTGAAATCTTCATCCGTGCCGACTTCCTGTATTTGAAACGATACTTCCTGGCCAGATAAGTGAAGGAGGTAACCTCTGATGGAGAATGGTGTTGGTTGTTGCTGTTGCTGTTGCTGTTGTATGGTTATTTTTATCACCTCCATTTTCTCTGTGTTCACCTGCAGTCCTGTTTTCGCTGCCTGCCTGCCTGCCTGCCTCTTCAGCCAGTTTATTGGTTTTCGCTTGCAAGTCTCCAAGTTTGTGTGACATGAGACAAATGTCATCCACGCACGAGATCCATACCTTCTAGAGTCTTCTTATCGGTGGTCCAGTCTGTTGCATCATCCAGTCCAGATTATGAGTGCACACTACCAGAGAAACAATTCATGATAAACTCTGTTTCGTTACAAATACAGTATCATTAGTGTGATAAAACATATCGAAAGAATATACATATATATATATATACTAGCTTACCCAAAGTTTCTTTTGGTTTTAATAAAGTAAATCTATTGAAACACTGAACACCACCTCTGTTTATCAAGCGTTTGATTAATTCTAGACGTGCATCAACAGATCGCCTAAATTCAAATAAACTTGAGCATGCAACACATAAAGCAGATCCAAAGCCACATTCTAATGCCTGGTTAATATTTGTATTCGGATGATTAATTAAAACATTGATACACTGAAAATTTAAAAAAAAAACGAAAACATAAAAGTAGTGCGAATGGCACAAATAAGTTAATAATGACAGATAGAATGTAGTCAGTAGAGACTTCAGTAAGAAGAAACTTGACACTGGTTATGTCTAAGTGTCTAATATAGTCAGTCCTACAGGTGGTCATTCGTGAGGCGGAACAACTCAGCGGTAACATCTCTGACTGCAGTACACACGGGTACACATGTTAAAACGCCTCCAATGGCTCTCTAACTAATGTCAGCTCATGATGAAATCCTGTAACCAATCAAATCCCTACAAACCAACACTTGAATATCAATGAGATGCTCACTAGTGACTTGCCCTATTCAGGTAGGTAGTTTCCCGGGGTTCTAGTGAGAAGTCGTGACCGGTAGGGTACAGCAGGTCGGGTGTGACGACAAATACTCGCCGAAGACATTGGCTAGGGGTAGCGCTATGTCGTGAACTGACAGAAGTTAGAATTCACGGACCATTGGATCGGGTCCCAGTAGCTTAATGGTATACGAGCTCGCCTTGTAACCAGAAGGTCCTGGGTTCAAATCCCGGTGGGTATGTACTGCTGAAGAGTCCCAAACTAGGAAGAAGCAGCTGTCCAGTACTCCCAGGTTTTCCAATGGTTCTCTAACTAATGTCAGCTCATGATTAAAATCCTGTAACCAATCAAATCCCTACAAACCAACACTTGAAAGAATTAATTCTCTCGAGTCTCAAGATACACCTTGCTAACGAATGTCAATGAGCACACAGTCTAGATTGACAGGTTTCCATTGACTATACCTAACCACCTAACATCAGGTTGTATGGCGTGTATGGTTTATGTAAAAATATATAAAATTTCATAGCAGATTTACTGCGTTTGGTAGTCTAAGAGTTACTACCTGATTGCCTTTGCCATCTACACATATAACATACTGTGTTCGTTAGCTTAAAAATCAAAGGTATGAGTGATACTTAAAAGCAGGAGTTACACAGTGTGGTGAGAGGTGTCTGCAAGACCCAAAATTGCAGACAACAATTGATGTCAATGTTTATGTCCCAAATCGGGGTCACGAGATAAAACAACAATAACGAAGACTAACCTTGAGGAACCCAACAACCAATCACAGTAGAATTAGAGCGTGGATACATGGTCTGACCTTCAAAGAGATGACAGAATAACTTTCAGTGTGAAAACAGCCAATCAGAAGACGCTGTTTCTCTAATAATAATAACAACGAATAACTATTCGCATAAAAATATATAAATATCTGTTGATTTTCTCAATAAACGATCTGTTGCCTGGCTCTTGTTTTCCATTGTAACAACAGTATCCCATTTAAACTTAAATATACCATATCGCTGATACAAATAAATCATGAAGTTGTCAAAATTTAGAAACTCAGCGATTGGCATATTTTGTAGACTGCTTACATTTAATGGAAGCCCAACTCAGTAATTTTTGTATTTGGACCTGAAGAAAGCAAGATCTACTGGTCAGGGTACAAGTGAGTTACTTATAATGCCTACTTAATAATAATATTAATCACTTTCATACATTTATTCCCCTAATTGAATTTGATTTAAAATGTAAGTATTGTCATTTCCATGTGGGCTTTCGATAAATTGACTTCTGAAGACTACCGTCTTCTAGGCGTTACATGGCAATGTCGAGGAAGTGAAATTTCCCGTCACTTTCATGTTCCATAGTAAACTCAATATTGGTGTGTACATCATTGAATAATCTGAGTAAGTATGAAGCATGACTTTCATTGTTGCACATTATAAATGTGTCATCAACATATCGACAGTAGGAAGTTGTTTCGTCGAATGCATGCTTCAACTTTGTTCTCTCAAGGATGAACATGAATATATCTGCTAAAACAGGGCTAAGTGGACTGCCCATAGCTACACCACTTATTTGATGATAAAGGGTGTTGTCAAATTGGAAATGCACATCCATGGTACACATTAGCATTAGGTGTTTGAATTCTGACTCTGAGAGTATGAGAAGATCAGACTGCTAACAAATGATCTCAATAGTTTCGTTGATTGGAATCATTGTGAATCATTGTATATACAAATTAACATGTACCTGATGGAGCAGTTACATTGGAAGGACGAAAGGATGGGTATATCTACGATTTTCTAAACATGTAACAAAAAGCTTACGTATAAAGGGAACAAATGCTTTAAACAGTGACATCGCCAGGCATCTTCTTGACACGGGTCATGAGGTGGACGTCGCAAGATTGTTTAAAATTATCAATAAGCAAAAGAGCTCAATTCTCCTCAAGTTCTCTGAAGCCATCTCCATCAAGCACCTGAAACCTGATTTATGCGTTCAGAAGGTAACGGTTATCAGTCTTTCTTTGCCCTGGTAACTGGATATTTTTCATCTCTCTTTCATCCGAATGCGAAATTCTTAAAAGTTTCCATTGTGTATGGTTATTATTATATTATATATTATATTATTATATATATATATGTAAATATTAATAGTGTATGCGCGTATTGATCGATTGATTTTTGTTTAAAATGAACTCTGTGCAATTATGCTAACATTGTTTTTGTAGATTCATTTAATAATGTCTTCTCCTTGTAAGCAGCTGACGAGAAGGCAACGAAATAAACAATGATGGTACCATTTTATTCTGCTAAAACTGTAGTTCTTGCTTTGTTCAAAATAATCACTTTATTCCAAACAATAACAATCATTATACGAAATGGAATTTTCAGCCTTTTTATACATACTGCAACAATTTAGCTCCTTTTATACATATATACATACATTGAATTTATAATAATAATAATAACAATAATAATAATCTTTGCTTATACTTTGCAGTTCAGATTACTGTTTTAAAAAGTTTATAAGTTCTTTTCTGACATCTGATTCTCTCTTCACACAAAACCCGTGCTAAATATGGTGGTATTGTAGGATTTTTATATTTAGTGACCGTGTGGGCATAAATTCTCATGAAGTTTCTCCTGGTTTCACCACCGAAGATATACAAGGAAAAAGTTGAGAATAAGTAGGGAGGATGTTTGGTCTCAGACAAGATAAATTTAGCACACACGCTTGCAAGAACTGAGGTGTCTATTGACAATTTTGTCAGTTCGCTGAATCAAAGGCACACCACTCACTCTGCTTAGAGCATTCAATGCTCTATGTAATGTGAAACAGTCTTTTTTGAGAATTCCGCGAAAGAATAAGGGTGAACAATAGAGAAGATGAATGGACAGAATGCACGGATCAATAAATTGTAAGAGGAGAGGTTGAGTTATGATGCCAGAAAGCCTCAAGTTCTTTATGTAATAAGGCAAGCGTAAAATTTTCTTAGAAATCAACAGGATGTAGGACCACTAACAGAGATTCGAAGAGACACTGATGCCGAGATGAGAGATGTTCGATTTACTTCCTGTCACTGAGCCGTCAGTATTACAGGAATCATGCGACTGAATCAGCGAGTCCACTCAAGTTTTATTCACATCCGAAACTAAAATCAACAACGTAGCATTATGATGGATTCAGTTTAATACCATTTCTACGGAACCTCTCGTTAACTTCAGATTAGAATCTATTCATATAAGAACAATCCAATTCAGAATCTATTGCGACAGAAAGGGTTAAATCGTCGATACATTTATTGGAATTAGCTTTGAAAGAGCACCATAAGTCACGTAAAAAGAAGGAAAAAAGAAATAAAGAGAGTACAGCGCTTTGATGCAAAGCAGTTTCCGTTAGTAACACGCTTTCCATTCAAAATAGCAGGTTTATTCCACCCAAAAAAAATAAGAAGACAGATACATTGTGACACAAATCGCAGTACACGCTGGGATCAGCTTGCTGAGTAGAAGTGCACTAGAAATTAAGTCAAAAGCAATAGTGCAGTCTAAAAAGGAAACTCAAACAAACTGTGTGCCTTCAACAAGGCTCGAAACAATATTGTGGTGGATTACAAGAGTAGCGTCTAAATTGCATCTAATACATGTGTAAGCAAACTGCTATGGGTTATTAGAAAACTTTAAAGAAGGTTTAAACCTTCTCTGAACCTTCTTCTGTCTTAAGAGCATTTGACAGAAGCTTCTATGTAGTTTTCACAAAAATACAGACGTGACGGTGACTGACCTAAACTTCAGACTTGATGCAGAAAGTAATTTTGGTACAGGCACCACCCTTATTTCTTTCCCTGTTAAATGGTGCATTAAAGATTTGTGTGAAGGATGACACAAAATATCAGCACATTAGTGATGTAACGACAGAAGGCAAGGGTCAGGCAACAGATCGTTTATTGAGAAAATCAACAGATATTTAGAGATTTTTCTGCACATTATTATTCATTATTATTAACAGAGAAACGGCGTCTTCTGATTGGTTGTTTTCTCCGTCTGAAGGTTATTCTGTCATCTCTTTGTTGCCGTTTCTTAGACAGTCCGGTGATATATCTACGATTCGTATCCGCCCACGCAAAATCTGCTGTGATTGGTTGTTGAGTTCCTCAAGGTTAGTCTTTGTTTTCATTTTTTCTCATTACCCCGATGTGGGACGTAAACATAGTCGTAAATTATTGTCTACAAATTTGGCTTCCAGACAGCTCTCGCCACAATGGTAGTGATAGGTTTCAATATTTTTATCACTGATTATTATGATTATTATTATTACAATCTTTTCTTAAAAACACAACAAATGAAAAAAAAACTTTTCCATACACTGATAACTTACAGGATCATTACCAGTTGCAATTGCAATACTCAGTGCTGAGTGACCATTGCATAATAAGTTTGGATCAGCTCCATAGTTCAGAAGGCACTTTGCAATGATAGCTGAATTCTTACAGGAGATGAAAAAGAAGAAAACATGTAGGCACTTCATTCTCTTGAAATAAAATTTTTTAAAAACTTAAACCAAATTAATCAAATCAAAATTTTAATTCAGATTCTTTCAAGAAAAGACCGCGCAGTATGGAAAACTTAGTTGAGTTCAGTTCATTTCTGTTAGCCAAAGACATTCCGACATCGGTCGGGTCCAGCGCTATTTAACTCTGAATTTCTCAACAAAGAAAGAATTCAGGGTTAAGATATGGAAATTCACCGGGAAAAGCTCAGTTTGTTTCCTAATGAAATGAAGTCCAAGGTATTATCATTTCTAAAGCTTACACAAACTTATTCCTCACAAAAATATATAAATACTCACACTCTAGTGAATTGATTGATTGATTTATTGATTTTTTATGATGCACCAAAGATTAAAATATTACCATAGTAAGGATATAAAGAAATTACATTCAGGTCAGTCAGAATTTACAAATATCTAATCCCAGGAATGGTGCTAAATTTATAACTCTGAATTCTGCAATTTGGAAATGACTAATTTGTCAATCCCGAAGGCTTTCGGGACTCCACGTGAACATAGACAAGACGGAGGTTATGAAAACAACCAACCAACCAACCAACAACAACAGCAGCAGCAACATCCACCGTCAATCACCATCAACGGGAGGGATTTGAAAGAGGTTACCTCATTCACTTCTCTAGGGAGCATGGTCTCAACTACAGGAGGAACCGATTAGAATGTCAAATCGAGCGAGAATCGGGAAGGCGAGAAACACATTCATCAACCTGAAACCAACCAATCTGGAAATCTTCCGCCGTCACTCAGCCTGCATCAACAACAAAATTCGGATTTTCAATACAAACGTCAAGTCAGTCACTTCTTCTATACGGATCAGAAACTTGACGGCCGGTCACAAAGAATATTTCCAACAGCCTGTTGCAGACCTTTATCAACAGCTGTCCTCGTTCTATACTGAAGATCAGATGGCCGGAAAGAATCACCAACAAGAAACTATGAGAACAAACAAAACAAGAACCAATCACTCAACAAATATGCAGGAGAATGTGGAGATGGATTGGACACTCACTCGCAGAGGAGGCCGCTGGGTGACATTGCGCGTCAGGCCAGTGCTCAAGTGGAACCCGCCGAAAGGGAAGCGGCGAGTGGGACGTCAATGCAAGGGTGACATGGAGGAGATCGTGTGAAGAGGAGTTGAAACAGTATGGACTAACACGGGTGCAAGTGAAAAGTACAGCAGAAGACAGAAGCAAGTGGAGACGTGTAGTTGAAGCCCTATGTTCCACCAGGAACCCAAGGGAACAATAATAATAATAATAAATAATAATAATTTGTCAATCAACAAGTCCTTAGTCATAAATTTTTATGGTCATACTGATACAAGTCAGTCGGGCATAAACTCACCCACTCAATGCAGATAATTTCTGATTCTGCTACCATCAAGGTGGAAACCTCCGCCCCCCTCCCCGCCGCAAAATCCACTGAACATTCAGGGGGTTAAGAATTTCGTCTAGAATGTGCAAAGTATTTGACTAGAAGCACCCATAAAATGTCAAGTGGTTTATTGGAATGTTTCAGAATCATTTATCCAGGAATTGACTGATAATCTGCATGATCACTGGGCTACCTAACACAATGCATCAGCAGTGGAAAAAATGCACTCATGCACATTTTCAATTGGCTTTCAGATTACCGGTGAGCATTTCGCGTTAATGAAGGAAAAATGATATAGTTTGGTTTGTAAAGGTTAGTTTTGTCTATAACGACTTCATCACGGATTGATATCAGTTAGAGAAGCATTGAAAACCAAGAGGTGCGTACTGCTGATGATTCCCAAAACTAGGATAAAACAGCTGGCTGTCCAGTACTCCCTGTCCCTGGTGGTTTTCAGTGGTTCTCTAACTGATATCAATCCGCGGTCAACTCGTAAATAACAAAACTAACCCTTACAAACCAAGCTATAGAAAATTAATATGATGCTCGCTAGCGAGTGACTGGCTACAGGATGGAGTTTCCTGGAGTTCTAGTGAGAAGTCGTGACCAGTGAGGTCGATGCAGTCACATGTGAGGGTGGATGTCCCACTGATGACATTGGATGGGGTCGCGCTGAGTCACGAATCGGCAGAAGTTGGAATTCATTAGCTGGCCATTGAATGGCGTCACAGTGGCTGAAAGGTATACAAACTCGCCTTGTAACCGGAAGGTCGTGAGTTCGAAGCCTGGTGGTGGGTGCGTACTGGCGATGATTCACAAACTAGGCTGATGAAACAGCAGCTGTCCAGTACTCCCTGTCCCTGGTGGTTTTCAGTGGTTCTCTAACTGATACCAGTTCGTGATCAACTCGTAGAAATGATGTAAATATTCTACGTGATAAACTGTGCACTGCTATTGTACTTGAAGATCCTGAATGAGGAGAAAACATTATGCAATAAATTACGCTCAGCCTTCTGTACACTGTGTATACATTTGTTCAGAATAAAGTTTTTTATCATTATTATTATCATTGTAATTATTAACAGTACTCCATCATGAAGGCGGCCTTCGACTCCATGGATCGAGAGGTACTATGGCAATGTTTGACTGTGAAGGGAGTGCCAAGTAAGTACACTGCACTAATCAAGGCACTCTACTCAAACTCACGTAGCCATGTAAGGGCTTATGGGGAATTGTCATCTGAATTGATAACAACCAGTGGTGTCCGTCAAGGATGTCCACTTTCCCCTTTTCTGTTTAACTTCATCATAGATATGCTAATGGAAGTATCCTTAACTGAACTTAACGACTTAGGAATTGACTTGTTACCAGGGAATAGTCTTACGGACTTAGAATATGCAGACGACATAGTCCTGTTAGGGGAGGACATTGACAGAATGCAAAGTCTTCTGAACACCTTGAGCAGCAATCTTCGTATGTTTGGCATGCGATTCGCCCTTGTAAAATGTAAGATGCTGCTACAGGACTGGACTACGTCAACTCCTAGCTTAGTGATAGGGAGTGAAGTGATAGAACATGTTGACCACTTCACCTATTTGGGAATTTGTATCAGCACCAACGGATTGATTGGTGACGAAATCTCAGCACGGATCCAAAAATCTCGGGCTGCTTTCACTAACTTACACCGTCTCTGGCGTAGGCGTGACATCTGGCTGTCAACCAAGGGACGTGTATACTGCTCAGCAGTTCGCTCCGTCCTTCTCTATGGCGGTGAGACGTGGCCATTGAGAGCGGAAGACATGAAGAGATTGTCTGTTTTTGACCACAGATGTTTACGATCTCTTTCTCACATAAGGTGGAATAATAAGGTAAGTAATGTTGACGTTAGGCGTAGAGTGTTGGGCAAAGAGGGAAAATCAATCGAAGAGGCTATAAAGTTACACATATTGAGATGACTAGGTCACGTGCTGCGCATGCCTAACCATCGTCTCCCCCGATGGGCATCACTAGCTGATATAGGTGCAGGTTGGAAAAGAGTGAGTGGTGGCCAAACAAAAACATGGCCTCATCAATCCATGAAATCCCTGACAGTTAAACTGAGTCAGGTAGGGAGATGCAGACTTCCGGGTTGGGGCCCGCCCTCGGGACTCTAAGAATCAATGGCTGGAGACAATAGGTGACATGGTTCAAAATCGTTGTCAATGCCTTACGCAGATGTATTCAGTCTCTGTAATCTTTCATATTCCTTTCTACCATTACCCATTCTGTTTCACTCTTATACCTTGCAAAACTCTATTGATTCTCTTCATTCATTTTCTTGTCTACCTTTGTGTGCTCTTTGGAACGTGGCAACTGGAACTGCTGCACTTCGGTGCCAAGTTTTACGTTGAATCCAGACAGTCACAGGCAGACTCCATCATGTCAATGCATGCGTAAATCTTGGGCACTGCGGTAGGAGGTAATTCCATATTAGTTTGTTTATCAGATGTATTACACAGTGAAACAGTATTATTACATACTGGATGACAAGGTTTCGAAAAAAAATTTTTGTGGTTCATAATCATATCATCAATTATAATCACACAACTTCGAAACTTGAGTTTTATAGTTGTTTTCTTTGTTCTCTCCTATTTGTCGTCGTTGGAGTAGCAGAATTTTCCAGATATCTGGGACAGGGACAGGTGTTGAATCATTCCTATCACAGGTGTTTGCAGTTGATTCGATAAACAAAGCTTCCGTTGTTATCAATGTCTGCCTCCACCCAGCTGTTACATTAGATTTTGAAACTGTCATCTTATTCATCCATCCTATTGTATGGTTGTGTGTAATTGCATGTAGTGCTATAGCTGAAATATTCTCTAGATTTCAACCATACAATAGGATGGATAGGATAAGATGACAGTTTCAAAATTTAATGTAACAGTTGGGTGGAGGGAGAGATTGATAACAATGGAAGCTTTGTTTATCGAATCAACTGCAAATACGTGCGTGTAATAGGAATGATTCAACACCTGTCCAACCGGATATCTGGAAAATTCTACTACCACGCCTACGACGACAAATAGGAGAGAACAAAGAAAACAACTATAAAACTCAAGTTTCGAAGTTGTGTGATTATAATTGATGAAATGATTATGAACAATAATAAATTTCGTTCGAAACCTTGTCATCCAATATGTCATAATACTGTTTCACTGTGTGATATATCTAATAGACAAACTAATATGGAAGTACTCCATCACGCATACAATCAGTAGCCATAAACTTTCATCTGGATAAATTATCAAAGAACTCAAAAATCGAGAAACACTTTCTGCTGCCACTGATATGTTCTTCAGTGAAGTGAGCGACATAAACGCAGGGGGGGGCACATTCTGTGGCTGATAAGGTTAGCTGAAAACAACTCACACCACACTGCAGTCAGTAACTTTTTAACTGAAACGATCTGATTTCTCAAATAAACTATAATCCATGCACAAACGCACACACACACACACACAGAAATACACACGCCACAGTCAAGGTGCTTCACACGTTAATTTCGGAGCATAAACTACGTTTAACTGACTAATAAACAATACCAATTAGTATGAATAATTTCCAGTGATTGCCATCACCACCACCACAAACTGTGAATCTCACTCAAAAAAAAACAACATTTTTTAAAGAAATAAAAAAACAAATAGATAAACAAATATTTTACCAGTTGGTCATATTCTCGTGAACAAACTAAATGCAATGGTGTTCTGCCTTCATGGATTTTCTTCTCAATCGGTGTTGTCCTCTCTGAATTCATCCCCTTGAAATACATGAAACAAAAAAATATATAATAATAAAATACAAAATGAACTAGAATCATTTTCACCGGAATTAGTGGTGTGTTCTCTGAGGAACTGGTTGAGATTTAACTGCTAAGCTTGAACTTTCTTCTCATGTGATTTGCTTTTTATTAGGTAGCAAGTAAGTACACTTCGTCCATTTTGAGTGGACACTAGTAACTAGTGTGATGTGTTTCTAATCCTCTGTTTGGTGCAGACTGAATTCTAACAGTCAGTCAGGTTTGCAATGTGGCCATCATTTCACTAGGTAGCTTGCCATCACGATGCGCACATTGATTTAATGATATTAGATGGTTGGAGACAGTCGATAGGTAGAAGCGACATGAGTTGTTCCTTCAAGGTGATTGCAGATACGTCTTGCTGACTGACTGGTGCGAGTGCCAACTAGTACGAAACCTAGGGGTCAAGCAAGGCTTCCTGGGGCCGATTGCTTCCAACCATCGAATATCACCAAAACTTGGTCTATAGTAATGCTCTTGTGGAGCTGAGTACATCGGCCGTACTATGCGCCGATTTGAAAAACGCGCTCGCGAACACTAACCAGACTGGCTAGTAAAAGGAGACCGAAAACGTGTATACAGTTCAGTGACAGAACATCTGGTCAACTCAGGACATTCAGCGCCTTTCGAAAAATCCTTCAAAGTAATATACAAAATTCAATCAAATCTATCAAAGGGAGTCAAATCAAGACATCTGGGCATAGCTGAGGCGCTAGATATCCAAAAGCTCAAACCCACGCTTTGTATTTAAAAGAATTACGTCCAACCCCTCCCCCTACGATGGCCATCATAAACAGGTAAAATGTTTTTAGTAATGACAATCTCATCGCCTTTCTTATCTAAACTTCCTGTTTATTCATGTTATTTTAAGTTTTCTTAATCCCTGTTTACACTACCATATTTTCATACCCACTCTTCCTGTTTATTTTGTCATTTTACTATTTCTACATATTTAATCCCTGATTGCATAAACAATTACTCATCATATTAGTTTTTTATCCAAACATCTTGTATATTTTGTTATTTCTACATTTCTAACCCCCAATTGCACAGTGTTAATCTTCCTAGTTATTATAATGCTACTTTGTTCGAGTTTTATCCGTTCCCCTGTTTATTATGGCATTCTAATTCTTAATTGTAATTTTTTATTAATTTGACCCTTAACCGGAAATTATTCTGGAACTTTCCCATCCATTTGATATAAATACACGAATGTACAGCCTAGATGATAACTTCATCGAAAAGAAAATTTCCTTCGCTGAAACTGTCTTTTTAATAACTCCTATAGTAATGTGTTTGTTAATCACCGGCTGATTTATTTGAGTACCAGGCTTCTAGGAATTACTTAGCACTTTTAGTGTTTTCTTCATTAAAAAAAATGTCTAAATTTTCCTAATCAAACTGATGTCCATAATTCTCTACATTGATACAATAGAATACATATATATCATGCCTTTTTACAGCCAATTTGTGTTCTTGGATTCAGATTCGAAGGGGACGCCCACTTTGACCGATTTGATTTCTACTGAGACTTTTGTAAGAAAAAAAAACAACAACATAAATCTGGTGCTGAGGGAAGGTGGAACTACATTACGAACCGTCAGAGGTCAGGATTCGTGAAGTCAGACGCTTTACCTCAGTGACTGGACTCTCCTGTCATAAACTAAAGGTTCTCGGTTCAAACCCTGATCCAGTCACTGATGAACATGTGTTGCTGAATAATCCGAAATATGAACAAAACAACTCTTTACTGCTTCCCAGTTTCCAGAGATTCTCTGGATCATGATATTGGTTTGTGATGAAATCTTTATCGAAGTGAATTAAAATCCATAAACATCCAAGTCGAAATACAACGCCATCGAATTTACCACACACACACAAACAAACAGTCAGGAGCACAACATGAAATGTTATAACTTTACTAACCAAAATCAAATGAACTGAAAATGGTAGTGAAAATGCATATTATCATGTCTACTGTTTCTAGATAAGTGATCAGATTAACAAAGTTACAACAATCAATCAAAAATTAAATGCTTTTTCTGCATAACATGTGTATGCTGTGAATGTACTGAGTGGATACATTGTAAGACCAAGTGTTTTCAAACTAAAATAATACCATCAATCTGTCCAACTTACATGAAATTGACCAAAGAAATGTTAAACTGAAAGTGTAATACGCAGACAGTATAGTACCTGGAAGTCCATTTTACCAAATGGAATCAAGTTATTTTATTTGATAATAACACATAGTGATACAGTAATAGTTATTTACTGACGTTTCAACTAAAACTGGAAACTGAAAATGAATCCAAAATCCCTTTTCTTGAAGTTGAGCTTACAAGGAGAGATGACGGAACTTTAAGAAGGTCAATCCATAGGAAACCGACTTGGAACGGACAATTAACAAGTTTCTACAGCTGGGTACCAATCAGTCGGAAAAGAGACCTAATTAAATCCCTTGCCACTCGCGTCAGACGCATCTGCAGCTCCCACACCATGGAAGAAGAACTAAACTTCCTGAGGGAAATCTTCTTACAAAATGGCTACCCACCAAGATTTGTAGACAAAAACATCAAACAGAAAAACCAAAAGCAAGAGACACCATCCGTGCCAAAAAAGATACTTTATATGAACCTAGACTTCAAAGGAGATCTACTTAGTGACGTCCTCAGAAAGAGAATTTCCACCTCTTTAGGAAGAACTTTCCCTGCAGCAACACTAAGAATAGTGTTCTCCAGTCGCCCGCTGATCTGCAGAAACCCAAAGGACAAGATTCCGCACATGACCACTTCTATGTGTATATATCAGTTCACCTGTTGCTGTGGAGCCAGGTACATCGGTCGTTCAACGCGCATCCTTTCAAAAAGGGTCAAAGAACACTACCCAGCGTGGCTACAGAAAGGAAATAATGGCCATATAAGGAGTGCAATAATCGAACATCTAGTCAACACTGGTCATCCCATCTCAACGAACGCCTCCTTTAAAGTGATCTACAAAGTGAAGAACAACCTCCCAAAGACAGTACGATTTCGTCTTCTTTGCATCGCAGAAGCCCTAGCCATTCAGTTGGAAGAACCAGAACTATGCATACAAAAGAAAATTATCCAACCACTTCTGCTCGCATGGTAACAACTCCGTTGATTTGACCCAACTCTTCTTTCTTTGTTTGATTTGACCTTACTTCTGTTTGCATGCTTATTTCTCTAACTGAAAACCCTTGTGTAATTCTATATATTATTTTGTTTCCATGCGCACCCTTTGAGTACACCTCATTCATCAAACTATTCATGCCATTGCGTAACTCTTATTTAACAATCATTTATGACAACTCATCACTTTTGTTACTACCCTCTTATATGAACATCCAATTCACCTGAACTCACTCCTCTTTAACAATCGTTTTTGACAACTCATCACTTTTGTTGCTATCCTCTTATCAACATCCAATTCATTTGAACTTAATAACCGTATTTTGTTTGACAAATTTAATGTATACACACACACACAAAATAACCGTATATATTTGCGATTGTACAGCTTTGAAAATGAATTCACCGAAAAGAGACTCTTTGCTGAACTACTTGTCTTTTGTCTACTAAAACCTATTACTCATAATTAAACCATAGTGGTCACATAACTCTCAGACCTTACTTATATATACTTCCACTATTTCCTATCCTAAATTTCTACTGATAATAATATTTTACAAGGCTTCCCACTATCTCTAATGATTTTCTTGATTGCTGTAGACTGGATAATGCGGCAGACAGTGACACGAAGCTAGGAAACAGGCATAAAATGGACCCACACAAAAAACTTGGAGCATCTTGACTTTGCCGATGACATATACATACATGTCTGATTTCCCACAAACTGGAAGATATGCAATTGAAGAGCAACAAGTTAACAGAAGAAGCATTAAAAAATAGGACTTCACTTCAGGTGAACATAGATAAAACACAGGTGATGATGAAGATTGCTGGCAAAAAGCAACAGCAGCAACAACAACAGACAACAATCAGTCAGCATAAATGAGAGAAATCTGAAATAAACAGCCTCCTTCACCTTTCTACCTACCTTGGAACCGTTGTTTCAACTACAGGCGGATGGAAATGATTAAGATTTCAAAGCGAGAATCATCGGGAAAGCAAGGCAAGCTTTCAATACTCTTAAGATTCCGTGGAGATCAGCGCTCAGCATGCAAAATAAGATCCGGATTTTCAACTCCAATATGAAGTGCTACTTGCTATGTGGATCAGAGACTTAGCGAGTCATGGAGGTTACTTCAAAAAAGCTACAGACCTTCATCAACAGCTGTCTTCGCTCAGTACTCAAGATCAGATGGCCGGCCAGAAACGTTCAGCAACAAGGAGGGATCTGTGGCAATGAGCGAGCCAACCCAACAGGAACCAATTGTACAAGAAATATACAGGAAGAAATGGAGGTGGATTGTCTGGCCATACTCTCAGAAAACAAATCATCGAGTGACATCTCACGCCAGAACATCACTCGAGTGGAACCCGAATGGGAAGCGGCGAGTCGGCCGTCAGTGCGAGGGTGACATGGAGGAGGATGAGGTGATGTGAAGAGGAGAGGGAAGCATGTAGGCAAACGTGAAGCCAATTGAAAATGTTGGCAGAGAACCAAACGGAATGAAGACGTACACTGAAGCCGTAAGTTCCCCTAGGAATTAAAGGGAGCAATAATAATAACAATAGTATCTTACAATTTTCTAGTATTGCTGCTGATATAAATCGAATGAAGAAGGAATCATTCGTCCGATTCTCCTTCCACTCATCTACATTATCTTTCAGAAGTGTAGCTCTCTCCCACCTCATTGCGTGGTTGTGTGCGACTGCTGACTTGTTCTCCAAGCAAGTCGTCTTTTTGTGAAGCCAATTATTCTACACTTAGCTAAGTTCCCGTGTTCGGATAACCTGGTTGATCCTAGTCCACTTAACTGACCTATGTAGTTGACTTTAAAGTCATTGAAATGTAAATTTCAAACTGGTTATTTTCTCTAATAGAAGCAGAAGTATCCTGTAGCGCATGGGAAGATTGTTGTCATGAGGTACATCAAGGGAAAGAATCACAAATATAAAAATGGATCAAAGAGCACCACAATCGATAGTTATCTTTCTGACGATTTTGCAATTTTTATTCCCCCTTAATTCTGATTAACTTTTAGAGGTCAATGGTAACGCCAACCTGGCTAGCAGCTAGTAGCTAGTTTTCAATGAATGAACCTTTTACAGTTCATCTGGATCGAATTTACATGCCAGTAGTATAATCGCAGACTTCCTACAAATGAATAACGCATTAAAACATTTACATGTCTGGTCTCATAAAAAGAGGTGAATCAGTGAACACTCATTCGAGAAAGTTTTACTTTCAGATTGATCGAAAACTTTGGAGAATACTGTGAAAAAAGAGAGACAGGACTTTAGCAAACAGCTTTCTCATACTTATTCATTTTGAAAAATGCACAGATGCACACTTGATCCTTCAAGAAGTATTGTTTTTGTAGAGATTTCTTTCCTGGCTGGTTGAACGATTTCATCATGAGCTCACATCAGTTAGAGAATCATTTGAAAACTATCTGGAAATACTCGACAGTTGTTTCGTCAAAGTACTTGGGACTCTTTATCAGCACGCACCCACCACAGGAGTTTCGAACCCAGCACCTTCTGGTTACAAGGCTAGTGAGTTCGTAGACTATTCAGTAGCCACAGGGATCCAACCCGATCCAATGACCAGCCAGCCCATGAATTCCGACTTCTGTCAGTTCACGACATAGCTCGACCACTTTGCAATGTCTCCTTCGATGAGTTACTGCCTCAGCTTCAACCTGCTGCACCTTACTGGTCACGGCTTCCCACTAGCACCACAGGTAACTACCCACCTGAATAGAGCCAGTCGCTAGTGGGCATCAGATTAATTTTCAAGTGTTGGTTTTTGTAGGGACTTTTTTTGATTGATTGGTTGGAGGATTTCATCTTCAGCTGACATCAGTTAGAGAACCAGTGGAAAACCAGCTGGTAATACTGGACAGCTGTTTCGTCCTGTGCAGCAACGCAAAACATCACCTCAATATCAATTTAACCATTCAGTAAGCTAAACTAATCAACCAGTCTTAAGCAACTTCAATTTGGATAAGACTCTATTGACGAAGAAAGCCTCGGAAAAAAGGTAGAAAGTGTTAAATGAAATCTGTACTTCTTTGTATGGAATGAAAACATGAGGAAAAACCTTTTGAGTGAAAGATACTCACATCCAAAAAAGCACACCTTAGATATACGCATGTGCGCACAAAAACTATTGAAATTCTTAACAAAACGATATAAATAAGAATCATAGAAGTTATTATACATACACTTGAACTGCCTGATTGTATCCCAGCATTGTATTGATGTTTTAATTTAAAACTGTCATCCAGTGTTGCCTGTTTATTCGGATCAGCTTTACCATCTTGAAGTAGAATCTCAGTTAGATGTACACCCATTTCATCGGGCACAAGTACTGCATAGTGTAGAACAGTCAAACCATCTAAACTTGGCGTTAACGGAGCTTCATCTTCATCAATACAAATCCCCTGTGAAATAGGACTGTCTGATTTAAGAGGATTCTAGAAAAAATGGGAAAACAAGCAAGCCAAACAGGGAATTAGTAAGCATAAATCTCACTTATTTGAAAGATTTATTACTATGATGTTTACTGACAACGTCCATTTCACGTTTGAAGGTGAACATTTTTGACAAGTGGATGGTGTTGCTATGGAGAGTCCATTAGGACCTTTGTTAGCGGACATTTACATCTCTTATGCTGAGGACTTGTCCCTTGATTTAATTTCTAAATTGTCCTTCTATAGGAGATGTGTAGATGATATCATTTTGATATGTGACGATCATGAAGATGCGAGTCGTCTATTAGATAGACTTAACTCTGTACAGAATCATATTATTCTTACATGCGAGGAAGAAAGTCGCAACCAACTTGCATTTTTAGACATACTTCTGAGTTGAAGAGATGATGGTTCAATAAGACGATCAGTTTACAGAAAGGACACGGCAATACTTTAATTTTCACAGTTTCTGTCCATTACAGTACAAGAGAGGCTTAGTGAAATGCTTATTTAAGAGGATTTGCACAGCTGATTTTATAGACAAAGAAAACGAAATATTGATGGATACTGTTGTTGAAAACGGATATCATTTAAAATTTTTAAACAGGTGTAGAAGTCAATTAGTCTCTAAACCTACAATCTATACCTCCCCTGAGAAAAATGTCTTCATCAAATTACCATACATCGGGGAAATAAACAGTAGGATTTTGAGGCAATGGTTGAATTCGGTCATCTGTAGGACCTATTATGCAGCCCGGCTTGGAATCATCGAAAAAGTCAAAAATATCCTCCACTGCAAACCTCAAAATTGCACAAGTGATTATATCACATCCCACACTATTTACCAATTCTCGTGTGTGCGTGTGTGTGGACACACATGCATAGGGAGGAGCAATCGTGTTTTGCATCTAAGGGTGGGAGAGCGAGCATATCACGAAACGCTTAGAAAAACAAATGAATTGTGGAAATTGAATAGACGCAGGTGGCAGAATACTAACTTCCTCCATAGTTAAACATCTAATCGATATGAACCACAAGAGTTATATAAACACAGCCTTTAAGGTCTTCTATAAAAGTGGCCAAGGGCGCTTACTGAAATAAGCTGAGGATATAGATATTCATAAACTTAAGCCCCCCCCTCCCCCCGCTGTGTATTCAGGAACAATTAATTATTACTCTTAACCTACCTTGATAATCCTTATTCTAACTGATTAAAAATGCCCATTAAAATTTTCGAAAGAATGTATACTGAACAAAGAGTATTCTTTTCGATAACCTCTTCTTCATCAGGCTCTACAGTTATATATACATTATAGTGAATGAATGAATGAATTAGTGTTATGAACAACATTAATGTTGCTTAAATACCATCGAATCAATAGTATCAATAGATTACAGTTCAATTACATCAACATAACAATATACAGTGAATATCATACAAATTAGGAGAGATAATAATACAAATTCATGAATTTACAGTCTCTACTGAAGGCCAGAGCAGTAGTAGTGACTGGTTGACTTGCTTCTTCTGCACACAAAGCACTGGTTGTTTCACGTAAATTGCGATAGCCTCTGCGGTACCTCGATGTTTTGGCAATTTATTTGGTACCCAGTAGATGATAGAGAAGGAAGGATTCATCAATGCTGGCTGGCTTTGTGGCCAGTCGGTTTGGACCAGGTGGTCTAATATCGAACTGTTGATGGTTTTCACTACACCTTTACTAAGCCATACTGGGAGATGTTCTCGAGCGAGCACGAAAAATCAAGTTCCTAGAGCAATGGCCAATATAACTCGCTCCACCACAGGTGCAGTTGAATTGGTAGATACAGTTAGAAGTGGCTAGTCTAGGTACTGCATGTTTTTTTTTTAGGGGAATCACCATTGGTTGTGTAGAAAATATGACTTGTAGTTATTCAAACATTAATGTTGTTAATAATACTAATTCATTCACTATTATGTATACATAACTGTGCAACCTGATGAAGAAGAAGTTATCGAAAGGAATATTCTTTGTTCAGTGTAACCATTCTTATGAAATAATGGCAACTCTTTAAGGCCTGTATTAGTAGATTTAATTACACAGTACAATCCTAAGGTCATGCATGATTAATCGCTGTTTTCTTAAACATCATGGAGACTGGTCTCAGTATTTTACAAACTGTCTTCAGTAATCAAACAGGTTTTGAGAACAATGTATCTTTCAGCTGCTGATTTCAGCTATAATTATAAACACATTCAACGCTTTAGTGATACAAAGCACCTTTCAAATTTACAAACTATTGTCGACACCGAGTTGCTTTTATTTTCTAGGTGATGATGGTGTTACTGGATAGGGGGGGGGGTTAAAGAAACCCGTATCATCATCAGTCAGTAATTATTATTATTATTATAGTATCCTTTAATTCCTACAGGAACATAGGGCTTTAGCCGTGCGTCTCCATTGCGTTCGGTTCTCTGCTAGAGTCTTCACCTGGCTCCATGTCTGCCCACACGTTTTCATCTCCTCTTCACATGACCTCCTCCAAGTCACCACACCTTCGCACTGACGACCAACTCGCCGCTTCCCTTTCGGCCAGGTTCCACTCTAGCGATGGCTTGTCTACTGATGTCAGTCACTTGATGGATTGTTTCCTCAGAGTATGGCCAGCCAATCCATCTCCATTTCTTCCTGCTGTCTATTTGTTTCACAATCGGTTCCTGCTGAGTTGGTTCGCTCATTGCCAGAGATCTCTGTTGCTGATCCTTTCTGGCCATCTGACCTTGAGTATTGAGCAAAGACAACTGTTAATGAAGGTGTGTAGTTTGTTTGAGATGCTCTTTATGACGCGCTGGCCAAGTCTCTGATCCGTATAGTGATGAGTAGCACTGACTTTACATTGGAGTTGAAAATCCGGATCTTATTTTTGATGTTGAGTGCTGTTGACCTCCACACAGACTTGAGAGTAGTGAAAGCTTGTCTTGCTTTTCTGATTCTTGCTTTGATATCCTCGTCAGTTCCGTTCTCATGTAGTTGAAAGGATGCTTCCCAGTTAGGTAAGGGAGGTTGTTTCTTTAAGGTTCCTTCCATTTATGCTGATTGTTGTCTGTTGTTGTTGTTGCTGTTGGAGGTGTTGCCCAGGAATCTTCATTACCTCTGTTTTCTCTATATTCACCTGAAATGAAGTCCTATGTTTGATGCTTCTTCTGCCAACTGGTTGCTTTTCACTTGAATATCTTCCAGTTTGTGGGAAATCAGACAAATATCATCGGCGAAGTCCAGATCCTCCAAGTTTTTTGTGTGAGTTCATTTTATGCCTGTTTCCTCATTGCCCGCTGTTTGTCGCATTACCCAATCTACTGCAATCAATAAAATCATTGTCGACTGTAGGCAGTCAGCTTGTCTTACTCCTGTCCTCACTTCGAAGGGTTCCGTAAGTTTCCCATTGTGGATTACTTGGCATGCAGCACTGTCGTATAGCTGTCAGTCAGTAATTAATGCCATCCTATAATTTTGGGTGTTTTTACAGTGCTGGTTACATTTGTGTGTGTGTCTTTGACTTTGTACGATCCAAAAAATCATACTTTTACGAGAAAGATCTGTCAAATAAATGAATCATATCCTACTGCTGTACTTCTTTCTGAATGATTCACACTTGAGACGTTTTCATAACTTCTGCTGGATAGGTCCTGGATAGGTCGGGCGACGTTTAGATCATTTATATCACAATGGCTTTGTGCATTCCCACTGGCAATCACTGTTTATATCATTATTATTATTATTCCCTTGCGTTCCGAGTGGAACATAGGGCTGGCTTCAACAACACATCTCCACTTTGTTCTGTTTACTGCCATCCTCTTCAGCTGGGTACACGATTCACCAAACTCTCTCACCTCTGCCTCGCACGATCTTCTCCATGTCACCCTCGCACTCACGATCCACTCGTCGCTTCCCATCGGGATTCCACTCGAGCAATGGCTTGCACAGCGCGCGATATCATTCGGTGGCCTCCTCAATGTATGCTCGACCAACCCATCTCCACTTTCTCCTACATATTTGTTGAGCGATAGGCTCTCACTTGTTGGCTTGTACCCAGAGTTTCTTATTGCTGATCCTTTCTGGCCGGCTGTCCACTTGATCTTCAATATGGAGCCAGAGAAGGCAGCTATAGATGTAAATCTGCAACCTGTTGGAAATCCTTTTCGTGACACGCTGGCCAAGTTTCTGACCCATATAGAGAAAGTGACTGACTGACTTGACATTGGTGTTGAAAATGCGAATCTTGTTCCCTTTGCTGAGACAGAGTGCAGGAGATTTTCCCAACCGATTTCAGATTGATGAAGGCATATCTTGCATTTCCGATTCTGACTTTGACATCTTCATCCGTTCCACCTGTGGTTGAAACGATGCTTCCTGGCCAGATAAGTGAAGGAGGCAACCTCTGTTAAATCTCTCCGGTTGGTGGTGATTGGTGCTGGTTGTTGTTGTTGCTGTTGATTGGTTATTTTTATCACCTCCGTCTTCTCTGTGTTCACCTGCAGTCCTGTTTTCGCTGCCAGCCTCTTCAGCCAGTTTGTTGGTTTTCGCTGTGGCTAATGATTACAATTAGTCCTGTATTATGACAGATGACATGTAGTGGGTGATACGTTCACTAATTTCAATCAGCCCTACTTAGACGCAAAAATTTCACCACTGGTACTAATGGGAACTAAATTTGCAAGTCAGTGATCCAAGAATTTAGAAGCAATCTTTGTAGTAGAAAAGAACATTTATGACTGCAGTGAAATGATAGCCTCGCTTGCAGTCAGGTCACGTATCTCAGCTGGTCGAGCACTGAACAAATAGTTAAACGGTCACTAGTTCGAATCCTGAAACAATGCAGATATTTATCCAGCTACCACTTATCACAAAAAAACGATTTCGCTTTGTTACATCAGAAGGCAAGACACGAAAGTCAAGGTATATTTCCAAGTGATCAAACTTATCTATTCATGTCACTTACATCAGAGACATTATCATAGTATGTACGGAAAATATCAGATTCACCTTCCAAGAAAAGACATACAAACAAATCGATGGTGCTGCGATGGGGAGCCCTCTTGGGCCCCTATTAGCAGATATTTTCATGTCGAAATTGGAGAAACAAATCCAAGGTATGCTTGGAGAATTTATGCTGTAGAAACGTTATGTAGATGATACTCTCATTACTGGTAATAATAGTAAATCTATTGAAAACTTTATTACTCTATTTAATCATATTCATCCAAAAATCCGAGTGACTTCGAACTCGAATCAAATAACAAACTCGGTTTCCTGGATATTACAATGACCAGGAGAGATGATGGAACGATTCAGCGATCTATTTTTCGTAAACAGACATGGAGTGGACAATATCTTCATTTCACTAGTTTTTTTCCTATCCAGTATAAACGTTCCCTAGTCAAATGTTTGTTCTCAAGGGCCCAAAAAATATGCACGAGTGACACACTGATGGATGAGCTTCGACATATACATTCAGTTTTATTAGCTAATGGTTATCCAGAAAACTTCATCACTTGTCACAGTAAGGATAGACCACATCTTGAAAAGACAACTTCTGTACCAAAGAAAGCTATCTTTATTAACCTACCATTCAAGTGTGACCAGATTATGCAGTTGACAGCACAAAGACTTCGGTCAGCCATCAAACGCACATTCTATGCCGCATTTCTTTTTCTCATATGCCGAACAATTTCGATCTCTGTACCTACGATTAAAGGACGAAATTCTATGGACTCTACTTCAAACTGTATCTACAAGTTCACCTGCAGCTGCGGTGATACCTATATAGGTAGAACCAAGAGAATGTTCCAATGTCGTGGTAGAAAAGAACATGTTCCAAAATGGCTACTAAATCATATAGAAAATCCCAATGCGAGTAATCTGAATAGAAATCCAGCATCATCCATTGCAAAACACTGATTAATGTCAGGTCACAAAATCAATATTAATGACTGTTTCACAATTATTTCATCACATAACTCTAATTCAAGGTTATTGAAGGTGATGGAAGCATTTTGGATTAATCACATGCATCCTAAACTGTATGTACAAAAGACAATAGACTTCATCCTTTGCCTACCATGGACTACTCGACCTTTTTAAATATGATTGGTTATTAGTATGTACTTTTGTTTCATATGACTGAGTGGTTGTCATTCATTTTAATTTATTTTATTATTGTAAACCATTGTCTCAACTACAGCAGGAATGGACGAGGATGTCAAATTGAGCGAGAATCGGGAAGGCGAGAAACACATTCATCAACCTGAAACCAATCTGGAAATCTTCCACCGTCACTCAGCCTGCATCAACAACAAAATTCGGATTTTCAATACAAACGTCAAGTCAGTCACTTCTTCTATACGGATGGATCAGAAACTTGGCAGCGGGTCACAAAGAATATTTCCAACAGCCTGTTGCAGACCTTTATCAACAACAACTGTCTTCGCTGGCTCTATACTGAAGATCAGATGGCCGGAAAGAATCACCAACAAGAAAGAAACTATGGGAACAAACAAAACAAGAACCAATCGCTCAACAAATATGCAGGAGAAAGTGGAAATGGATTGGATACTCGCTGAGGCCACTGGGTGACATCGCGCGTCAGGCCAGTGCTCGAGTGGAACCCGCCGAAAGGGAGGCGGCGAGTGGGACGTCCAAGGGTGACATGGAAGAGATGGTGTGAACAGGAACTGAAACAGTATGGACCAACATGGATGCAAGTGAAAAATACAGCAGAAGACAGAAGCAAGTGGAGGCGTGCAGTTGAAGCCCTATGTTCCACTAGGAACCCAAGGGAACAATAAATAATAATAATATTCCGTTGGAATACATTGTCAGCATCCCACCACCACAACTTCAAAATGGATGAAAATATATAAAGCTGTGATGTCACGCTGAAAAATTCACTCATCACAATCCTAGTTTACTTGGCAGTTTTATAATAACGACGTTTATGATTTTAGAAACGCATACCATTGAAAACAACGTCAATATCTATTGAGCACTTGACAGGTTGGTGTGATGCAATGTGTTAGATATAACTTGTGCAGATCACTGCATAGATGTTTTATTCTGGGAATTTACTAAAATAAAATAATACCAATAATAATAATAATAGTAAAATAAAATAAATCTAACCCCCTATACAATTTTGCTTACATCCACACGCAGGCATATATTCGTGTCAGCTCCGTGTTGTATCAATTTACGAACCATATCAGGATCACCAGCTTGTACAGCTAGAAATAAGGCTGGTAATGGTCGAATTCCAGTATTTGGATTTGCACCACGTTTCAACAATAAATCGATAATATCCATCATTTGTTTCTGTCTGAAAGGAGAAGGTTTAAATGACAAGATTTATTGGGATGTTGTCAATTCATATCGAATATGCACATAAAAATATTTGTGATATTTTGTATGACAGAGAGAAGAACATTTAAGTTATTAGAATATTTCCCTTGATTTAAACATAGTTGTGTGATAATCCCTAAGGTGATGTTTCATGATTTGCACACTGATGACACCAAATAATGGTCGACAATATATCAATAAAGTTTAATTCACGTTATGTCGCGAATTGGCAGTAGTTAGAATTCATGAACTGGCTGGCCATTGGATCGGTTCCCAGTGGCTATTGAATGGTCTACGAGCTCGCTGGCCTTGTAGCCAGAAAGTTCTGAGTTCTATCCTCGGTATGTGCGTACTGCGAAAGAGTCCCAAGTACTAGGACAAAACAGCTGTCCAGTACTCCTTAGCTGTTTTCCAATAGTTCTGTAAACGATTTCAGCTTATAATAAAGTCCTCCAACCAAAGAATAAGAATTATTTGTGGTTGTTCTATACGTCATCAAAATATTTCCAAAAATGTAATGAATCATCAAAGTGTAACTACGATGGTGCGGGATTGAAGATTAGTATGAGGGTAGTAGAGATAAGTTGTCAAAAGACATAACAGTTAATGTTGAATAAGTGTTTTATAGTCAAGCAATCCAATGAATCATCACTCATCCCTGAAATATGGAAAATAATACTACCAATCAAATCAAGTGAAAATCAAGTGAAAAACAAAGGAACTATATAAATGAATGTAGGAAGTCGTGTGATTAACTTGATATGATTATGAGCAATAAATTGTGCTCGAAACGTCATCAGTAAATATTACTGTATAACACTGTGAGACTCTATCAAAATAAAATTTACCCATAATGGAATTACACTCTACCACAGTGCCCAAGTTTTATTCTTATATCAAGCAATCCAACAGTTGTATGACAACGCTGCATGCCAAGTAATCCACAACGAGAAGCTCACGGAATCCTTCGAAGTGAAGACAGGAGTAAGACAAGCTGGCTGTCTACTATCGCCAATGATTTTCCTGATTGCAGTAGATTGGATAATGCGACAAACAGCGCGCAATGAGGAAACAGGCATAAAATGGACTCACACAAAGAACTTGGAGGATCTGGACTTCGCCGATGATGACATATGTCTGATTTCCCACAAACTGGAAGATATGCAAGCGAAAAGCAACAAGTTGGCAGAAGAAGCATCAAAGAAAGGACTTCAGGTGAACATAGAGAAAGCAGAGGTGATGAAGATTCCTGGACAAGAACAACAACAACAGACAACGATCAGCATAAATGGGAGGAACCTGAAAGAAACAACCTCCTTTACCTACCTGGGAAGCATCGTTTCAACTACAGGCAGACGGAACTGATGAGGATATCAAAGCAAGAATCGGAAAAGCAAGACAAACTTTCACTACTCTCGTCAAGTCTGTGTGGAGGTCAACAGCACTCAGAATCAAAAATAAGATCCAGATTTTCAACTCCAATGTGAAGTCAATGCTACTCACTGTAGGGATCAGAGACTTGGCCAGCGCGTCATAAAGAGCATCTCAAACAAACTACACACCTTCATTAACAGTTGTCTTTGCTCAATACTCAAGGTCAGATGGCCAGAAAGGATCAGCAACAGAGATCTCTGGCAATGAGCGAACCAACACAGCAGGAACCGATTGTGAAACAAATAGGCAGGAAGAAATGGAGATGGATTGGCTGGCCATACTCTGAGGAAACCATCAAGTGACATCACTAGACAAGCCATTGCTCGAGTGGAACCCGAAAGGGAAGCGACGAGTTGGTCGTCAATGCAAGGGTCACTTGGAGGAGGTCATGTGAAGAGGAGATGAAAGCGTATGGGCAGACTTGGAGCCAGGTGAAGACTCTAGCAGAGAGCCGAACGCAACGGAGACGCATGGCTGAAGCCCTATGTTCCTCTAGGAATTAAAGGAAATAATAATAATAAGATGAACAATCTAATGAGTGAACTTTGATTAAGATGCACACGGAAACGAAGAAAAATATGGAATTAAGTAAGGAACACAAGAGTTATAAGGAGTTAGAGCGCCAAACGAACAAACAAAAATGAAGTCAGCAGAAATCAATACGGTTGTTGCCATGATAGCAGAAGTGGTTGATCGACTATCTTTTGAATGCATAACTTTAAATTTTCCAACTGAATAGCTAAGGCTTCAAAAGTACAAAAGAGACGAAAGCGTATGTTGTCTTTTGGCAGATTATTCTTGACTCTGTAGATTACTTCGAAGGAGGAGGCGTTTGTTGAGATAGAATGGTTAGTGTTGACAAGGTGTTCGATGGTCGCACTCTTTATAGAGCTACTACTGTAATGACAGAAGGCAAGGGCAAGGCAACCGATCCTTTATTGAGAAAATCAACACATATTTATAGATTTTTATGTATATTATTATTCGTTATTACTAGCAGAGAAACAGTGTCTTCTGATTGGTTGTTTTCTCACTGGAAGTTATTCTATCATCTCTTTGTGGCCATTTCTTTGAAGGTCAGACCATATATATCTGCGAATCATATCCGCCCATGCAAAGTCTGCTGTGATTGGTTGTTGACTTAGTCTTCATTCTTGTTCTTTACTGATGACCGAGATGCGGGACGTAAACATTCACGTAAATTAGTGTCTACCAATTTTGGTTAGGAGACAGCTGTCACCACAGTATCTTCAATAAAGCATCACATATACCTTGTTATCAGAATCTAAGCTGACGAGGAACAGGTACACCTGCTGCTGACTGTCTTTCACCATTCCTCTACCAACAACACATCAGTTAATTCATTTGCTACAGCAACGGATAAATGCGCTTGCTCTGCAATCATTTATATGTACACATTGTTGAACTAAAGATTACTCATAATTATTTTGAGTGAATATTTTATTTTTCAAATAAATACAAAGTGATGCATTATGAACTCACTTGGCTAAAAGTATAGCCTGTTGATCCAGTGAACTTTCCCTGATAGTATGTCCTCCATCTGTTTGTTCATCACTCGATGCTTTCTTCATTTCTTCTCCTCCCACATTTCCTTCTTCCAGCTTACTAGCAGTATTATCGTCAATATTTGAATCAATACAAGTTGTATGCGAAGCTAAAAAGTAGGGATTTTTTGATAATTCGTAGGCTGCTGACCTTCTCAACACTGGTGATGTTATTCTGTAGTTTTTATTGATTAAAACATCTTTAGAAGCTACGTCGATCAATGTCTAAGTGTAAATACATGAAAAGAAAAACTTTGGTTGTTGAATAGTATCAATTGTTCAAGGGATCACATGCGATAATTTCACAGTCATTGTAATCTCTGGGGTTTTTATAAACTATATTGCCAAGGAGTCAAGCATAACTGTTGACAGAACCTAACAGTGATATAGGAGTCAATACCTGTAAACCACTTCAAGTGTTTTATCCACACCAGTCCAAAATGAATTAATAAGGCCCTTTCAGAAAGACAGAGGCGTAGCGAAAGAAAAAGAGGTCTAGCGTTGATTGACCAAACCTCGGGGGGGTGGCAGCTCTTTAAAGTCATTCATTTATTGGCTATTCGGAGTGATTTTTGTAGCTGGGTCTGTCAGAAGATCTCACCACTGGCTATAAAGCACTGGAGGGTAAGTCAAGATGTACAGTTTTCCAGGACAACTATTTTGTAATCCCTCTACCCAGAACATAAAGTCAGCACAGATAGCTTGGTGACTGTCCGAAGAAAACATCAAACTGCTGTTAAATGGAAATAGCTCAGTCACTCGATCGCTGCATATTCATAGCCCTATTAACTAATTATTCACCCCGTAGACACTAAAGCTTTAATCCATCCTAAGCAGTGCTTCCTAGGTGTTTTCACTGCATTTCATCAAAAGAAAGAAGGGAATAGTACTGAAACATGCTAGTAACATTAAAATTCACATGCGTACAGTTTTACTTAGACATATAATACAAAGTGAGAAGTAACGCGTAGCCTTGAAATTATTATTTAAATTTCGAGCTGATTAATTTTATCGGTCTCTGGTGATATTCCCAGTGATCCAGTAGTCTGGTGAACTACTCTAGTGTTTGAAATGATCAGTGGTTGGAATGCCACCGGTCACCAAAGATGCAGATACAACCAGATGACCAGTTCCGAATGGTACCAAACACGTGTTCGAAATCCCCACTACTAGTCACCATTAACTAGGGGACAACGTGTCGTCTAATAAGCCAGATTATTAAAATAAACTTTCACTTTGCCTATCAGGGTGTAGAGGGAAATTGAATCGAGCGAAAACTGAGAAACGAATACAATTATGCCAACAGATGTAAAATAAAAGAATAAACATCCAGAAGGCATGAAGCGTGGGTTTGGAATTATAATAATAATAATTTGTGTCACAAGGTGTTTTCTTTTGGTGAAATAATTTTCGCTTATGATTTTAAGCTACTCGTATCAATCAGTATTACGTATACATTAGTTTATCTTCGAAATTTCTCAAATTAAAGCATTTTATGGCACTGGATAAGTCTGTTTTTATCCAATCGAATTTTTTTAGCTTTTCTCGTCGATTGATTGGACCGAAGTGCTTTGGCGTTTGAAACTATGGCCACTGTGTTCGAGACTCCAGGTACATCCAGATGACGAGTCCCAAATAGGACGAAACGCGCATCCTGGATTCCACTGTTAGTCACCATCCACCAATTGAATTCTATAAAGTGTTAAAATAAATTTTCATTAGTAACTTCTGCTATCTCTTCTCATTGTCAAGCTGATATTGAAAATTGAAAATTTGGTGACAGCGTTTCAAATCCTGCGGCAACCTGAATTTCCATTCCACCTTCATCCATCATGTACATTACATCAATAATTAGTTACCAATCCAAGACTATCGAAGATAGTCTGACCAATAATGAAAACAGTTTTTCTTAATGTGAATCCTAATCTCTCATTTATATCCACATAAATATATCTGTGCTTTACTTACAATGGATTTTCAAGTGATGAGTAACGTAGCTCACTATAGAACTGTGGTTTATTCACTTAGACCATCGGCTCCAACCATTAGATCACAGGTTTGGACTTCTCTCCACTTGCCAAGATTTCGTCATTCAGGTTGTAAACTTCATATTAACAGAAATCAAAAATAGTACCGCCTTTCAGTGTCAGAAGCCATGACTTCTGACTCGAAATCTCGAAGAGACTTTTGATTTTCTCTTAGCAAAGTATATCGGCCGTACGCAATGTCAAGTCCGCAAACGCATTCTAGAGCATTGTCCGGCTTGGCTAGCCAGCCAGAGGAGAAAAGAAGAATAGCAGCAGCTCTATCCTTGAACACCTTGTCATCTCTGGACATCGAGCACCCCCGCATGAATGCTTTGCAGTGCTACACAGAGTCCCTCAATATCGCAAGAAAGGACTTCGAATATGCCATTTGTACATAGCTGAATCATTGGCTGCTCGGGATCTGAAACCGGACCTCTGCATTCCATCGCCCTACTGTGGCCAGAGTAACGTCCTCACTATAATTTTACTTCTTTTTATTACGCAAGTTTATTATTATTACTATTATTCTCATCATTCTTATTTTATTGTCACTCTACTACTGTTTATTAATAACACTGCGTTTTCATACAGATTTTATATAAAAACACTTTATTGTCTTTCCACTAGTCGTTTTCTCATACTTATTACATCATCCCGACTTCTGCCCTTTTTCTAATTGCTAATTAGTCACCCCATCTAGACTACACCTTGCATTACGTAATAGATTTTTCGAGTACAAATTTTACCAGTATCTGATTGGTCGTCTTGTGAATTCTCCATTAAATATAATTACGACTGTATGACTTATGAAAATGAATCGTCAAAAAGAAAACTTTCTCTGCTGTTTACGTCTTTTCCATATTTCACTTTATTGTATTACTATTATTATTATTATTTCCTTTAATTCCTAGAGGAACATAGGGCTTCAGCCGTGCGTCTCCATTGCGTTCGGTTCTCTGCTAGACTCTTCACCTGGCTCCAAGTCTGCCCACACATTTTCATCCTCTCTTCACATCACCTCCTCCAAGTCACCCTTGCACTGACGACCAACTCGCCGCTTCCCTTTCGGGTTCCACTTGAGTGATGGCTTGTCTAGTGATGTCACTTGATGGATTGTTTCCTCAGAGTATGGCCAGCCAATCCATCTCCATTTCTTCCTGCCTATTTGTTTCACAATCGGTTCCTGCTGTGTTGGTTCGCTCATTGCCAGAGATCTCTGTTGCTGATCTTTTCTGGCTGGCCATCTGATCTTGAGCGAAGTATTGAGCGAAGACAACTGTTAATGAAGGTCTGTAGTTTGTTTGAGATGCTCTTTATGACGCACTGGCCAAGTCTCTCATCCATACAGTAGCACTGACTAACTTCACATTGGAGTAAAAAATCCGGATGTTATTTTTGATGCTGAGTGCTGTTGACCTCCACACAGACTTGAGAGTAGTGAAAGCTTGTCTTGCTTTTCCGATTCTTGCTTTGATATCCTCACGTGTAATTCAATGGTCTTTGACAGAGTAAACCGCGACTGGTCAGCATCTGTATTATTGGTGTATTCATAGTGAGACCTTATCCAGTTGATACATTCCAATTATTCCTTCATATTGTTACATAAATAAAGCCTAATCAACCTTGTTAAATGATAAACTCAGATTATGAATAACGATGAAAAAGCTATGAATCAATAAATTCTGAACAATTCTGAACGTTACCTGTTTATTTCTACGATCTAATGACATAGTCTGTGGTCTACTCTTACGATCTGACGTGTATCTGTAAATAAATAAAACAGATGCATAAAGATAACTACGGAGGAACACATGTATATACATCAACCCACTAACTTACCAAATGACCAGTGATAAATAATCGCACCAAAACCAAGTATTTTGAACACAGCAAGAACTACAGTTTTAGCAGAATAAAGTGTTTTTCGTTGCCTTCTCGTCAGCTGCTTACAGGGAAAGGACATTATTAAATATATCTACAAAAACCGATTTTAACATACTTCCACAGAGTTCATTTTAAACAAAAATCAATGCATACACTAATAATATATACATATATATATGCAATATTAAACACTATTCCGAACATTAATAATCATACACAATGGAAACTTTTCAGAATTTCGCATTCGGATGAAAGAGAGATGAAAAATATCCAGTTACCAGGGCAAAGAACAAAGTTGAAGCATGCATTCGACGAAACAACTTCCTACTGTCGATATGTTGATGACACATTTGTTGTGTGCAACAATGAAAGTCATGCTTCACACTTACTCAGATTATTCAATGATGTACCCACCAATATTGAGTTTACTATGAAACATGAAAGTGATGGAAAGTTTCACCTCCATGACATTGCCATGGAACGCCTAGAAGACGGTAGTCTTCAAAAGTCAATTTATCGAAAGCCTACTTGGAAAGGACAATACCTACATTTTAATAGCTTTTGTCCAAATAGCTTTAAACGCGGTCTAGTCAAGACTCTGTACTATAGAGCGTGGAGAATATGCTCTATAGAGAAATTACAGGAAGAATTTGGTTTTCTTGAAAAGATATTGAAGAGCAATGGTTACCCTCAAAGGTTCATCAACAAGTGTGGAAGATCTGAAGTCACAAATGTAAAACAAATCACAGTGGGTAAAAAGCCAATCTTCATTCAACTTGATTGTAAAGATGAAAACATTGCAGCAGTGGTCAACAGAAGGCTGAGGACATCACTAGCCACAGCCTATCCTGCAGCTAAGCTCGTTCCCGTCTATCGAACAACTTGCTCATCTTTGGTGCAATACAAAATCGATGGATATCCTTCTCATGTTAACTCCAACTGTATAAACAAATTTACATGTATCTGCGGGAGCAGTTACATTGGAAGGACGAAAAGATGGGTATATCTACGATTTTCTGAACATGTATCAAAAAGCTTACGTCTAAAGGGAACAAATGCATTAAACAGTGCCATCGCCAGCCATCTCCTCGACACGCGTCGGTCATGAGGTGGACGTCGAAAAGTCGTTCAAAATTATCAATAGGTAAAAGAGCTCAATTCTCCTCAAGTTTACTGAAGCCATCTCCATCAAGCACCTGAAACCTGATTTATGCGTTCAGAAAGTAGTGGTTATCAGTCTTTCTTTACCCATCCTGTTAACTGGATATTTTCATCTCTCTTTCATCCGAATGCAAAATGCTGGAAAGTTTTCATTGTGTATGATTATTATTGTTCGGAATAGTGTTTAATATTACATATATATATACATGTATATATTATTAGTGTATGCGTATATTGATCGATTGATTTTTGTTTAAAATGAACTCTGTGCAAGTATGTTAAAAATTGTTTCTGAAGATATATTTGATAAAGTTTTTTCCCTGTAAGCAGTTGACGAGAAGGCAACGAAATAAAACATGGTACCACTTTATTCTGCTAAAACCAAGTATTTAACTTTGAAAATACACTTGTAACGAAGTGTGGGATGATATTTAAAAGTCAACTCACCAATAGTAAAGCTGAGAGAACAAATCAAATCCGAAATTCACATCCGAATCTACACGAACCCATTTTATCATCGGTAGGTAGTCGTTTAAATACGCAATCAAACAATCAATATATTACATCAATGAACGAGAAATTGTGATTTCAGCCGTTTTTTCAGCTGCCTCACTCCGATGAAATGAACTTTGTTAAGTATGCCGATGATCTAACTATTTCAATGTCTGTTAACTCTCAACTTGACTGTATTAAGATTAACAACTTTCTATCAGAAATTAACAAATGGTCTTCGTCTAACTTCCTTAAACTTAATCCTTCCAAATGTCAGACTGTTAATTTCAGTTTCCGATGTAAACGAAAGTTAAATGAAGCCGTTGGTTCATATGACCCTTGCAAAATCGATGATACTGATATAGAAACCAAGTCTGAAGTTAATTATCTTGGTTTAATTCTTTCTTCTAACTTATCCTGATCTTCCCATGTCTTAGCGATTTCTAAAAGAATATTTCGTCTGACTTTTTACATTGAAAAGAAGTTAAGGCACTCAGGCATAACCCAACCCCTCTTCTTACATTTTGGTCAACTCGTGCATCTTACCTATTCTTCTTTACTCTTCACCCTTATTCTTTCCTCGATTGCTAAAAAAAAGACTATGTCATACTTCGTAGAACTCTGAAGACTGTCAGTAGGACGAGTGGTATCCCATTGGGCCATATCGTTGGCATTGTCACCGACAGGCATTTGATGTCATGCAACAGATTCGCTAGAGGAATTTTGTCAGACTCTGAGCACCCACCCTACCAGCAGCTCCAACCTTGTGTCTCCTCAGGTAAAACAAGAAGTCTTTTCAGAAGACTTTATGCACGTACGTCCAAGTATAAAAATTCCACTATACCATATTTAGCACATACTCTATGTGATGAAAATAGTGTCAGAAATGAACTAACTAACCTTCTTAGCACTACTAAATAAACCATTTCCTTCAACCTTAAAGCATCATACTTTATTGTAATTGTATTTCTTATATTTATAATCCTCTCAATTTTTCGTTTTGTTTATTTTATTTTTCATAAGCGTGGACATAATTTTAAGCTCTTAACTTTGTATTTCACCTCACTATACCATATCAACAGAACATTAGACCCAATTATCCATAACATGCTAAAGTTTCCAAACTGAAATCGACAATACCGTTTGAAACAAACTCACTGTTATTAGTATTTATTATTATTATATCTAATAATCATGTCGTTAATGTGGACAAATTCCTCCGATTAACTCTTGTTTTAATTTCTAATTTTATATACACTTTGAGTAAATCAGAGGCAATATTGTGACAAATGCTGAGAATTCCATTCTGTATTATAAGTACTGTTTTTGGAATAAAGTAAATTATTATTATTATTTTAATTGTGACTTGTTTACTTGACCAATAGTAATTTATGATATAAGAAGAAACAAGATTTGAAGATCTAAAGTCGATGACAAGGTTACTTCTGCTTCTGCAGAAGTTTCTCTGATATAAGTATTGCTTAAATGATATCGGCTCATGATGAAATCCTCCAACCAGTCAATCAAACAAAATCCTTACAAAACCAATACTTTAAAATTCATCTGATGCTCACTAGCGACTGGCTGTATTCAGGTAGGTAGTTATCTGGGCTTCTCGTGGGAAACCGTGACCAGTAGGGTGCAGCAGGTTACAGGTGAGGCAGTAATTAATCGAAGAAGAAATTGCGAAGTGGTTGCGCTATGTCATGAATTGACAGAAGTCAGAATTCATGGACTGGCTGGCCACTGAATTAGATCTCAGTGGCTACTGAATAGTCTACGGGCTCGCTAGCCTTGTAACCAGAAGGTGCTGGGTTCGAACCCTGGTGGTGAGTGCGTACTGCTGAAGAGTCCGAAACTAGGCTGGCGAAACAGTTGGTTGTCCAGTACTCATTGTTGGTTTTCCAATGTTCCTCTAACTGATGGCAGCTCATGATGAAATCCTCCAACCAATCAGGAAAAAGAATCCCTAGAAAACCAATACTTGACTATTGCTTACTTTTCTTTGAATTGTTAAATACAGTTTCGTGACATAGATTTGGATGAACCACTTTACGACTGGTATCAGAATGGAACTCCTGAATCATATAAAAGAAAAGAAGGCGTTCAGCGAAGAGACCCTTTTCGGCGAATTCATTCACTGAGCTGTACAATCGCATATTTATACAATTTTGTTTGTGTGTGTGTACATTAGATTTATAAAGTTTAGATAATTATGTAATATAAGTATTTTTTTGGCTTGGAAACAAACGTTAAGATGGAAAATAAAATAGAATTGATTAAGTGAGTAGAATTCAGATTAGGTCAGGTTGTCAACAGTGTTAATGAGTGGTGTTTAAAATCAAAGAAGGGTGGGGTTAGAGAATAATACAGTTGGCCTCATCTATGCGCATCTACCAATTCACCTGCTCGTGTGGAGCCAGGTATATCGGCCGTACTCAGCGTTCGCTATCCAAACGCGTCAACGAACATTTACCTTCATGGTTTTATAAAGGAGAAAACCGATGCCCTCGCAGCTCGATCCTTGAACATTTGATCGACTCTGGACACCAAGTCAAACCAGAAACAAACTTCAAAGTTATCTACAGAATACAAGGCAATCTTGCTAAAAGTGTACTGATCAAACTTCTCCACATCGCAGAAGCAATGGCAATTCATCTGCTCAATCCTGAACTCTGCATACAAAAGAAATTCGTTCATTCATTAAATCTACAATGGATGTAATCTTTCTTAATTTCAGTCTTACTAATTGTATTATTTTGTCTCTTGCATTTTATTATTTCACATCTTCACTTATATTATTCTCTACCCCACCCTTTTTAATCTCTACCCTCATTAACAATGTTACTAACTTGACGCACGTCCAATTTCTAGTCAACTGCGTTATGTCATCCGATTAACTTACTTATTTTCAACTGTATTATTCTCTAACTCCACCCTTCTTTGATTTTAAACACCACTCATTAACACTGTTGACAACCTGACCTAATCTGAATTCTACTCACTTAATCAATTCTATTTTATTTTCCATCTTAACGTTTGTTTCCAAGCCAAAAAAATACTTATATTACATAATTATCTAAACTTTATAAATCTAATGTACACACACACAAACAAAATTGTATAAATATGCGATTGTACAGCTCAGTGAATGAATTCGCCGAAAAGGGTCTCTTCGCTGAACGCCTTCTTTTCTTTTATGTGACTGAATGGGGATTTTCAAGTTA